CCCCTTTCTGAAGAGCAGAAGTCAGGACCCCAGAAACACTGGTGCCTAATCCTCAGCCCTCCCCCCATTATGAATCCTGCAGACAGACATTCTCAGGGGATAGACAGGGCCACCAGCTGATCCCCTACAATCTGGAGATGTGTCCCTTACAAATATGAGGCCACAGGGCCTAAGAAACCTTCCCCTTCCACACACATAGACTCTAGACTCCCCACATCTGTCGTGGGCTCTATTTCTCCAGCCCAGTGGGGTCTCAAACAGCCTCTTAGTCGCATACACAGAGTGAAGTGCGGATTCCTCCTCCAGACAGCTCCACCTGCCTGCGCCCCCACCTCCAGAGGTCCGGCCTCTCCTCCCCGAGATGACAGGGAGTCCAAATTTAGGAAGCCTCACTCCCAAGGCCGGTGGGGCCCCTAAGATTTGGGCCTCCAGGCCTCCCAAACCAAATCGATGGCCCTGCAGACAGGTGGGGCCCCACACCCGTGAGTCCCCCAGGCAGAGGGCCCGCGTCCCCTCTGGACAGCACCCCTCTCCCCTCCCTTCACACAGCCGTCGCTGCCTCAGCCTCGCGAGCTTCCCCCCGGCCGCCTGCCCAACGGGCTTGAGCCGCTCGAGCGGACACCTCGGCCGGACCGGCCGCGGGCACGGGACCGGCCCAAGCCGCGACGGCGGCCGCGGCCGCGAGAGGGTGGTGAGGGCGGGGGAAGCCGGCGCTCGCGCTCCGCCCCGGCCCAGGGCGGCTCCGCCCCCGCGCCTCCGGCTCCGCCCACTCACACAGTGCAGCACGAGGGCTTCCTGCTGCGCAAGCGCGAGCTCGACGCTAACCGCAAGTCGTCCAACCGGTGAGCGCGTGGGCGGGGCTTTGGAAGGCGGGTCCCAAGCTCAGTGTCTAATGAGACTAGGTGGGGCCCGAGGCGGCGGGGAGGGGGCGGGGTTAAGCGTCAGGGCGTCCAACTGGTGGCGGGGAAGGCGGGGCCTGGAGAGGGGGCGGGGCTTACGTTCTGGGACCGACGGCGGCGCGGGGTCCCAGATCGGAGCGCGCGGTGGGTGAGCGGATGGCGTTTCGAAGGGGGCGGAGCCTGAGGGAAATGTTAGAGACTTGAAGAGATGACGATCCAGTCTCCTAGCAGCCACCTAGGAGTTAACTAGAGCTGGTGTAGAGGGTTCCCGTGGCTTGTAAGGTGGAGCCTGGAGAGACCTTCCAGCCTATGCGCGCGGTGGGGCCAACCTTGATGTTTCAAACAGGGGGCGGGAACCCAAACTTGGCGCCGGCGCTGACGGGGTGAGGCCGGGGGCGGGGGCCACCGCCTGCATTCCCAAAGGGGGCCTCGTGGTGATGTGCCTTCTCTGGGAGTCCAGCTCCTAGTTGCCCAACCCCTTTTTGTCCAATCTGGGGAGGCCGAATCTGGGGAGAGAGCCAAAAGGGGAAACGCTGGCGTACCCGTGCACTGAGGCCGAGCCCCAAGATGTGAAGTGGCAGAGTAGGTTGAGATTTTGCCTGTGGGATCTGGAAGTGTTAGGGCAAGGTAGGAATAAACAGGGGCACCTGGGTGTATTTTGCTCATGGGAGACTTCCTCCTCAATTGGGGTTTGGCTGATTGGGGTGATGGGAATACCTCATTGTAGGCAGTAGACCAATAGATCTCCTTCAGGAGGTTTCCAAGGGCTAGGGATGGACAAATATACAAGCAAGGGTTCTGAGGAGACAGCTTAAGTCTTGCCTTCAGGAAACTCTGTATGAGAGTGGATAGGGAAGGGCAACCCCAGCAGCGGGCAGCCTTGAGGTCGAGAGACTTAGAGCCTTCCCCCAGTTTGGGAACAGCCACAAGGAAGAGCACATCAGTCATATATCCCAGTTAGGGCAAAGCCCAAAGGTAGGAAGGCTCAGACATGTTCAGCCTTTGAGGGTATTAATGAAGCATATCCAGGCAGAGTTCTGTGGCTCTGCCTTGAGTCCCCTCTCGTCGCCCCAGGTCATGGGTGAGCCTTTACTGCGTGCTCAGCAAGGGGGAGCTGGGTTTCTACAAGGACTCCAAGGGCCCGGCATCTGGGGGCACACATGGCGGGGAGCCACTGCTCAGCCTGCACAAGGCCACCAGCGAGGTGGCTAGTGACTACAAGAAAAAGAAGCACGTCTTCAAACTCCAGTGAGCCCCCCAATGGTCTAGAGGGAGGGATCCAAGGGGCCTCTTCCCCTCCCCAGTGATACCCTGCTCCCCTAGAGGACAGATATTGGATGGGTGGGCTGGGCCCTTGCGCCAGATCCCTCAAGTCTTGTGTCACCCTCCCACAGGACCCAGGATGGCAGCGAATTTTTGCTCCAGGCTAAAGATGAGGTGAGATATAGTCCTTCCTCTTCTTCATGTAGCCCTTTGGAATGACCCAGCTGCTTGACTCCCCTCTGCCGGAGTGGGGGGCTGTGGATGAGAGGGGAAGCACAAACCAGAGTTTCCTGCGCTGTAATGAAAGCCCACGGGCAGTGAGAGTTCAGAGGAACTTCCTAACCTTTCTGGGGTGGGGGGGAGAGGGGGTGAAGGGGAGAGTGGAGGGTGAGAGAACTCTCTGGAAGCCAGAACAGTCTAACCTTCTTACCTTGACCTCTGAGGTGAAAGTGGAAAGAGGAGGGAATCCGCTTTAAAAAATAAAGGGAGGAGGGAACCCCAGTGCAAAGCTCCAAAGGCACAGAATTGCTGAGGGTTAACTGAGGGGGGGGAGAAAGTTACCAGGGGCTGCATGCTGCATCTCAGCAGGCTTTGTGGGCCCATCTGAGGAGGCTGGAGGCTGTCCTAGGGCACCGGGGAGCCACTGCAGGCTAACAGTGAGGCATAAGAAAGATTCCTTTGTTTTCCAGGGCAGGGTAGATTGGAGAGGGCAGAGTTGAAGTATGGCACCCTGGAGGCAGCCAGGGCAGAGACCCAAATGGGGAAGCAATAGGCTGAACCAGGGCAGAACAGTGGGGAGTGGAGGAAGAGGTAGGTAGGTGAGATGGGAATGTGACGCTGGGCCTGGGGCAAGGGGGAGAGTTGAGGGGAGGAGGAGCAGGTGTGGAGGTGACTGAAAAGATACTGAAAATCCCAACGCTTGATATCTCGTTCATCCTCACAAGAGGCTGTGACATAGGCTTGTTATTTTCTCCTTGCTTGCCTTTGTTTAGCCTTAAAATGGAGAATGAAAGTTTTCCATTACAGGGTTAATGTGAAAATTTAATAAATGGATACACATAGAGTAATAAGGCCTACCAAATAAGGCCTACTAAATGTCAGTGTCCGCTGATATTATCATTGTTTTCTGTAGTGGGGATTAATTCTGTTGCATAGGTTGAAATCAACCAAAATTTAATCCACCCAAGTGCTTAGAATAGACCTGATCCGTGCTCTATGTAAGTCTGAATTATCACCATCATCATCACCGCCCCACTTAAAAGATGAGGAAACTGAGGTTCAGCGAGGGCAGTTCAGAGGGGAAACTGAGGCCCCAGACTCATCTGTTTCTCAGCCTTCTGTCTTGCAAACATGGACTGTGTCATTTCTCTCTCCAGGAGGAGATGAATGGCTGGCTAGAGGCTGTGGCTGCCTCGGTGGGGGAACACGCGGAGATTGCCCGCTGGGGACAGACACTACCCACCACGTCGTCCACAGATGAGGGCAACCCCAAGCGGGAGCCGGGGGAGCGCAGAGCCAGCGGGCGCCGGAAGTGACTTCCCATCCCCAGGGCGTGAGACATCCATCTCCCTGACCCTCCTCTCCACACTGTGGGCACAAAGACACTTTCTCTTCCGCAGGGGCGGATGCCCCTTGTTCCAGCAACACTGCGGATGCGCCATGACGGGCACTGGAAAGGAGGGGACTTCTCCTGCACCCCAAGAAGTGGTGGGGAGATTGCTGCCCCTATAGCCATATCTCGGCCCCTTCCCGCTCGCCACCCCCACCCCAGGTGCTGGGGCTCCATTATTTTTATGCAATAACTGAGCTTGGTGGAGGGGCGGGTAAGGGGTCAGTTGAGCCAAGCCCCCTGCCCCAATCCCCAGATCCCGCCCCAAGAAGCTGGGGTGGTGGGGGCGACAATTCTGCCCCCCTCTCCGCCCTAAGGATGGGCAAGGGGGCGCTGGTGAGGTCCCCTGGACCATCCAGGGTGCTAGGGGGTGGGGAGGGGACGCCCCTTCCCCGCCTTTACCTCACTTCCAATGCTGCCTTGATCTCTGTCTGGGAAGAGGGAGTGAGGGGGCCCTAACCCCCCGCACTCCACCGCCTCAGAGCCATGCGGTTAATTCCTGACTTAGTTTATTTTTGCAAAACGTCGACCTCCTCCTCCCCCGCCCCGCATCCGCGAAGGCTTTTAATGGGAGGGGCGTCAAAGCTCAAAACTGTCTTCCTCTCTCCTCCCCCCTCCAGTTGTAAAAGCCTCTTCTTGAGGGGAGGGGCGAGGGGAAGCCCTCCCCCTGCATGCTTCTGGCTGGAGCACCTCCCTGAGGAGTGGGGGAACCGGGTTGCGGGCAGCCCCCATCGCCGCCTGGAGAAGCCGCTGGGGCCCCGGGGGTGTGGGGCGGTGTGGCAGGCGCACACTGTATGTACCTATAATAAATCCTTTGGCTTTGACGGTCTACGCTGCTTTGTTCGCGTTTCATGGGATGTACCTGGGAGGACTCAAGGTGGAGAGCCTGTGGCTACGGAGAACATTGGGCCCCTCGGTGTGGCCTAATTTCGGGGCCTCAACATGTTCCCCCCGACAAAGATGCCATTCCTAAAACAGGAACCCCAGAGGAATGGAGGAATGTCATTCTTTACGAAATGCTATTGCTCCTTACTAAACTTCCCCAAAGGAGCCACCAAGTCCGCCCCGTCCAGGACAGGAAAGGCGGGCCCCTTTAAAGAGGTGGAGCATTTAGCTGCGACGGACGAGCACTCTGCCCAATCGTCCGAAGCTCCGGCAGTCTCCGGCCCAATGACCACGCGGCGGGGGCGGGTCCCGGTTGCACACCCGGAAGCGGGTGCGGGCCGGCAGGCTCGCCCGGGGGCCATGGCCGCTGCGGTGCCTGCCGCTGAGGGGGTCTCAGGACGGGCACCTCCCGGGGAAGTAATTCATCTGAATGTGGGGGGCAAGAGGTGAGTGTATGAGATTCCGGAGACCCCACCCTTGGGGGCAGGGAGAGGGCTGGGCGTCCCCGCCTCTCCGGGAGGAAATCCCTGTCCATCAAAGATTGCTCCGCCCCCTGCCGGAGGCGCGAGCCCGGACTATCCCCGGGAGAAAGGATTTCCACCGGCCGGGGGTCGGGGCCCGCGTTCCTCCCCTTCATCAGCTCGCGCCCGCTCACTTTCCCCGGTCAGGTTCAGTACCTCCCGCCAGACGCTCACCTGGATCCCAGACTCCTTCTTCTCCAGGTGATTGGTGGGGTCTGCTGGAGGGGCGGGAGGGGCGGGAGGGGCGGGCGGGGAGGGACCTAACCCCCTCCTCCACCCACACCCCAGCCTGTGACACCTGCTCTGTGTCCCCTCCCTGCAGTCTTCTGAGCGGACGTATCTCCACGCTGAAAGATGAGACCGGAGCAGTGAGTGGGGCAAGACCTGGAAGGGAGGGGCCGGTAGGAGGGCCAGAAGCCCACTCAGCCTTGCTCTTTGCCCCATCCATCCTCTGTCCCCCTGCAGATCTTCATCGACAGGGACCCCACCGTCTTCGCCCCCATCCTCAACTTCCTGCGCACCAAAGAATTGGACCCCAGGTTGGCATGCAGGATAAAGGGGCGCTGGTCCCTTGAGAAGTCTCTTCTCTCCCCCCTTCACTTACGCTCCGTTCTGTCAGTTCTCTTTGAGAAACTTGGTCATATTTAATCGTGTCCCAGAATCCCACACACGCACGTTTCCACCCCCATGTCATCCTTAGAATCTTAACTCATCGAAAACGGCAGTTTTGAAAACTTTATCCTCAAAATTCTCTGCTCGCGCCCACTCCCCAGACCCTGACCCCTAATCAATTCTACGCAGGGGTGTCCACGGTTCCAGCCTCCTCCACGAAGCCCAGTTCTATGGGCTTACTCCTCTGGGTAAGTGGGGACCCCTCAGCATCTTCACTGTAGAGAAAACAAGTGGTCTAGTGATCCTCCCTCTCCCCTCTTCCTCCCGAAGGAAGCTTGGGTTAGAGCTGAGAGCACTGGATTTGGTCCTGAAGCTAAGTGGTGTTATTCCCTGGAGAAGGAGGTGGGGAGAGGGGGAAAGAATTTACCTTAGTACCCGCCAAGCTTCAGCCTTATTCTTCTGCCTCAGTCCGTCGTCTGCAGCTGCGGGAAGAATTGGATCGGTCTTCCTGCGGAAACGTCCTCTTCAATGGTTACCTACCTCCACCAGGTTGGCACTACTCATGGGTGTGGGGAAGGTCGGCTAAAGACATTTCCCATAAGGCTGCATCCCTTAGGGCTTTGAACCCTGAGACACTGTGGAAGTTGTAGTTCCATATCCCGTGCTTAACCTGATGCTTGGAAACAGCATTTCCCATGAGGCAGTGGGCCAGCGAACACCCCTTGAAGGCAGGAGGCATGCCCCCAAACCCCATAGGAGGTATAGTCCACGTTTAGTTTCCTTGTGGGGAGGCTGGTGAAGAACTGGGGTCCTTTGCTGGAGGGGAGAAATGTTAAAGTGTACTTATTGATTATAATCCCCATGAGACCTTAGAACAGTCAAGCGTGTTGTCCCCAGTGGTTACTGGGGACTGTAGACCACTTGGTTTTGTAGTTGGTAGAGGAAATGTGTGTGGGGAGATTCAGTTAATGGCTTTATATCCTTAACCCTGGTCAGTACTTACTGCCTTCATGAAATTTGTCAAATATGAAGAGCTATACTACTGTTATTTTTAACTTAAGTTTTATCTCATTTAAAAAAAATTACTTCAAATAGAAGCTTTATATCACTGCCTTTATACCATAAAAACAAAGTAAATGCAAAAATAAAGCCCAGAGGTAACTATTATTAAACTCTAGCTAGATGTTGAGCCTGCCAAGGGCACAGACTTCCATTTCTTCAAAGGGAAAGATCAGGGCCTCCCTGGTGGCGCAAGGAGTTAAGTCTCAGCACTCTCACCTCTACAGCCTAAGTTTGATCCCCGGCCAGGGAGCTACCCACATGGCACAGCAGACCTCTCCTCTCTTGCCCGCTGCTCCCCCCAGCAGTTTATTTCAGTAGATCTGCCTGTTCTGGTCCCCACTCTGTCTCTGGTGAATCCTCTCACCCCTGTGTTTCTGGCCTACCCCAGTTCTTTTGCAAAATAAATATTTTTAAATATATGTATATATATATATATTAAAGGGGGAAAGAATAGCATATACGAAGAGATATTGATATTATAGCAGTTTTCTTCTGTGATGGCCTCAAAGGAATGGAAAAGGGAGAAACATACCGAGTGTGATTCAGTGTCATTTGATGTGGGTTCCAACACCTCCTGAAGTCTTTTTATCAGGAGACTGAGCTTCTGGGCAAATCTGTGCTTGGCATATTTTAAGTGCTTGCTTTATGGCAGTTACTAGAATGATTACAATTGTCACTCTGTCCCTTCTCCTTCCCACAGTATTCCCAGTGAAGCGGCGAAACCGTCATAGCCTGGTGAGCCCCCAGCAAGCAGGGGGACGCCCAGCCCCTGTTCGCCGGAGCAACACGATGCCCCCCAACCTGGGCAATGCGGGGCTGCTGGGCCGAATGCTGGATGAGAAAGCCCCTCCCTCCCCTTCAGGTATGTTTCCATCTCCTGGGAGGCTGGGGAACCTAGGCCACCCCCCCCCCCACCATGACCCTGCCCTGATTCCTGCTTTTCCCCCCAAGGGCTGCCGGAGGAGCCGGGGATGGTGCGCCTGGTATGCGGACACCACAACTGGATCGCCGTGGCCTATACCCAGTTTCTTGTCTGCTATAGGTGCTCAAGGAACACAGGGGCTGGATACTTTGAGCCCTATTGATGGGGTGGGCTTGGGGGTGAGGGCTGATGGTGTCTCCTGCAGGTTGAAGGAAGCCTCTGGCTGGCAGCTGGTGTTCTCCAGTCCCCGCCTGGACTGGCCCATCGAGCGACTGGCGCTCACAGCCCGTGTGCTCGGTGGTGCTTTGGGTGAGCATGACAAGATGGTGGCCGCCGCCACAGGCAGTGAGATCCTGCTGTGGGCTCTGCAGGCAGAAGGCGGTGGCTCTGAGATAGGTATGTCACCACACTTTTGCCTGAACCCCTTGCCCTTGAGAATCCTCCTGTAACCGGTGACCCATTAAAAGAACCCACCTTCTAAAATCCTCAAACCCATAAGAATTGTTTGCATTGTTAAGATGCTCCAACCTGCTACAATTCTTTGGCTTGGTAGAAAAATGCACCCACATACAATTCTTTTCTCCATCAGAATTCACTGCCCTTTTAACCTCTGGGCTGGGTTAGGATTCTCCAGTAGAAACCCTGAGCCAGTTAGAATCTACAGTCCCTGTAGAAGTCTCTGACTTGTTCAACTCATTCTTCCCTAAAACCTCAGTCCTTGTGAGACCCCTCTGGCGTTCTTCAAATGTTTTGCTTGTTGAAAATTCTCATCGTGGGCCTCCCCTGGTGATGCAGCGGTTGAGCGCTGGGTTGCGAGGCTGCCCGCAGCCTCTGCAGCGCCAGTTCGATCCCCGGCCAACGGCAAGGGCCCCACAAAAAAAAAAAAAAAAAGAAAAGAAAAAAAGAAAATGCTCATCGTGTCTCCATTCCACTAGAGTCCCACACACCGCAGACATCGCCCTCACTGTCATCCTCCGAAATTCCTGCTGAACTCTATCCTGTGAGGATTCCATGGCCCAGCTGAATCCTCTGGCATGTGGAGTTTTTCCTGCCCTCCCCTTATCCCCACAAAGCCGGGTGCCAGCTGAGGGATCCCCACCCATTGCAGGAGTCTTCTACCTGGGGGTGCCTGTCGAGGCCTTATTCTTCGTTGGAAATCAGCTTATCGCCACAAGCCACACGGGACGCATTGGGGTGTGGAATGCCGTCACCAAGCACTGGCAGGTTAGAGAGCTGGCCCACCTGGGGCCCAGACAACAAGGACTCAGGCCGGGCTTCCAGGCCCCACCCAACCTGGAAAGCACCAGAGGGTCAGAGAGCAGTGACTCAGAGACTGGGATGTATGTGCTAAAGGTATAAGGCGCATCAGGGAGGCCTTCCTGGAAGAAGGACTGCCAAGCTGATAGGAAGGATGGGTGGGTTTTAGAAAGGAACAGAGAGGATTCTCCAGGCAGTGGATGGGTGAGCAGGAAAGGGAAGGTGGTATGGAAGGCAGAAACCCAGAGAGATGCGTTGTACACATGTGTTATTCTCTTCACACCCACCCAAGGCATGTCCAGAGTATAAAACAAAACCCAACAGAATATCTACAGTACTGTTCTTTCCTGTTAAAGTGTGAGTGTTTGGGAGAGAGGGACAGATAAGGGAGAGAAAGAGACAGAGTCAGGGAGAGAACCAGACAAAGGGAAACAGGAGTCAAAAAGCCAAAATAGAAGGGTGGATGGAGACGAACTGGGACTGAATGACTGGTCGGTGCAGGCTCGTGGTGGTCAGTGGACTGGATGGGGTAACTAATGTCAGAAAGATCCAGGTCAGGAGACAGAAACACAAACCAAGAGACGTTCTAAGATAGAGAGACACTGATGGCCTAGGAGAAGTGGGCCTGCAAGCCGGGGTGGAGACTGGATCTGGGAGGAGAGGGCAGGTTGGGAGGGCCACTGCTGAGGCAAAGGCAGGGAGGGGCACCGCAGCGCCGCCTGTCCTGCCCTGCCCAGGTCCAGGAGGTGCAGCCCATCACCAGTTACGACGCGGCAGGCTCCTTCCTCCTCCTGGGTTGCAACAACGGCTCCATCTACTACGTGGGTGAGCAGTAGCCTACCACCCCCGCCCCCCCCCCCCGGTGCCAAGAGCCTCCCCTGGGAAGTGGGAGAGTGGGGAAAGACTAGGGCACCTGGGGCAAACACATCATGCCCTTCATGTCCACCCAGATGTGCAGAAGTTCCCCCTACGCATGAAGGACAATGACCTCCTTGTCAGCGAGCTCTACCGAGACCCGGCAGAGGACGGGGTCACCGCCCTCAGCGTCTACCTCACCCCTAAGACCAGTAAGCTATGACGCGGCCTCCCTTCTGCCATCAGCAGCCAGCCACAGCCCCACCCTGCCACTGTTTCCCCATTATATGTGCACCATGACCAGTGGGATTTATTGGTAGAGGGCATAGATTCAACTCTCGTTTAGTCATTCAACAAACACTTTTAACAAGCACTGCTTGTGTATTAACATTGTTCAGACTCCAGACCATGGGGTGGGGGTTGAGGGGTGTTCCTCGCCCATGTCTGAGCTCGGGCATGATGCTGTGTGCTAGTACAGCAAACAGCCACATCTTTAATGTGGGCAAAGGTGACTTTTTTGTTGTGTTCCCTGACCTCACATGCAGAGCAATAGATTAATTTTCATTAATTCACATTCCATCAATTCCACCATGTTAAGGTGTACAATTTAGTGATTTTTTTGGTAGATTAACACATTTTCACAACCATCACCCCTACTTAATTGTGGAATGATTTTATCACCCCAAAAGGTTTCCTTTTCTCTGGATACTTGACTCCCTCATCGAAGAGTCCCTTAGAAATACTAGGCTGCGTTTTCTTGTCTTGCTGGCTGTGTCTCTACCTGTGTTTTTCTGTCTTTCTAATTCCGTTTCTCTGTGTATCCATCTGCCTCTGGCTCATTATCCCTCCCTTGACTTGGGTTCTTTGTCTCTTTCTCTCTCTCTCTCTCTCTCCGTTCTTCCATTTTCCTTTTTTTTAAAGATTTATTTATGTATTTATACAAGCACTGGGTACAGTCAGAAGCGCGGGAGGGTGAGAGAATTCACCAGAGCCAGAGCGGGGAGCAGAGCAGGCAGAAGGACCGAAGTACACTGCTGAGGGGAGCAGCGGGCGGCAGGAGAGGTCTGCGCACCATGTGGGACCCTCGCTGGCAGCCAGGGATCGAACTGGCGCTGCAGAGGCTGCAGGCAGCTTCGCAGCCCAGCGCTCAACCGCTGCGCCACCAGGGAGGCCCCATTTTCCTTTCCTTTTTGTTTCTGTATTTTCCTGTATCTCTCCCCTTATTAGCTCTGTCTCCGTGTGTCTCTGCCTCTCTCTGGTTGCCTCTTTCTCAATCTGTCCCTTGGTCTCCACTGCCCAGACCTTGCTGTCTCTGTCCCTCTCGCGCGTGTCCTGACTCTAGGCTCTTCATCTGTCTGTGTCTGCCTCGTTTTCTGCCTCTGTGACCCTGCCCCGCTCTTCATCTGTGGTCCTCCCAGGTGACAGTGGGAACTGGATTGAGATTGCCTATGGCACCAGCTCAGGGGGGGTGCGCGTCATCGTACAGCACCCCGAGACCGTGGGCTCGGGGCCGCAGCTCTTCCAGACCTTCACCGTGCACCGCAGCCCCGTCACCAAGATCATGCTGTCGGAGAAACACCTCATCTCAGGTGGGCTCAGCCTGCAGGAGGGGTGGCTTAGTGGGGACCCCAAGCCAGGTGGCTGAGAGTCCCCCTGGGGAGGGAGTGGTGTAGGTAGCACCCTCTATGGGGGGAGGATTTTGATCTGGAGGTCCCATAGTCGCCTAGACTATGAAGGAGACCAGTGAGGGGGGAGAGTGAATTAGTGGGAGAGAGGGGAGAATTCATAAGTTCAGCAAGCATTTATTGATCACTTACTGTGTGCCAGGCACAGGGGGTACAGGATGAACCAGACAGGCCAAAGCCCTACCCTCATGGAGTTGGCCTTCATGTAGGGACCGCACACAGTGAATAAATAAAACTGTCACTCAGTATCAGGCGATGCAGTGGCCATGGGTTTAAAAAAAACTGCAAATGGCTGGAGAGTTTCAGGATTGGTGAGGGGCAGTACCGGGAAGACCTTCCTGAGGAAGGAGCTTTGTGCAGAAATGAGGGCATGAGCAGTACAGATTGTCTGGGACAAGCATTCCAGGCAGAGGGAACAGGCCTTGCAAATGCTTGGGAGTTGGGAGGATGTTTGAAGTGTCTGAGGGAGAGCCTCAAGCCTCTGTGCCCAAAGTGGAGTGTTGCCCAGAGCAGACTTTGTCCTTGACCGTGAGTGAAATGGCGCCACAGGAGCATCTGAGTGGAGGCGTGGGGCCTGATGCAGGTGCTCACAGTCCCTTGGCTGCATGTGGGGACACACCATGGGGATGGGAGTGGGGTGTCCAGGGAGAGGAGGACAGGAGGGGTGGACAGTGTGTAAGGGGAGGTGAGAGCAGGCTCTGGAACAATTTTGGAGGCAGTGCCAACACGAAAGGAGTTTTGACCCATTGGAGTCTGGGGAAGAGAGAGTTACCTGAAGGGGAAGGATTCGAGGGGTCTGAATCCTGACCGCTTGGAAAAGCGTTATCCAGGGGCTCAGGAAGGCCAGGTAGGGCCTGACCTGCTGTCGCCCTGTGCTCCTCAGTCTGTGCCGACAACAACCACGTGCGGACGTGGTCAGTGACTCGCTTCCGGGGCATGATATCCACCCAGCCGGGCTCCACCCCGCTCGCCTCCTTCAAGATCCTCGCCCTGGAGTCGGCTGATGGGCATGGTGGCTGCAGCGCTGGCAATGACATCGGTGCCTAGTGGCCTCTGGCCCCCTTCCCGCAGACCCTGCCTGACCCCCGTGGGCCTCCTTTGTTCCCTGAACTCTCTTGACCTCCTTTACTCCCTGTTGAATTGTATGGACCCCCCACTGATTCCTGCCAACTACCACTCAACCCAGAACCCCCCAATTCCTGATTGCCTGACTCCCCAACCCTCTGTGACCCCACTCAGCTCCAGTATCCTGGGGAGGGATACCTAGTCCTGGGCAGGAGTTCCTCAGGGCGAGGCGGGCAGAATCTAGGGGACTAGAGGTCCAGGGCCCCATCTGACCCTGACACTCCTCTTCCCCGCTGCTTAGGCCCCTATGGCGAGCGGGACGACCAGCAAGTGTTCATTCAGAAGGTGGTGCCAAGTGCCAGCCAGCTCTTCGTGAGACTGTCATCCACTGGACATAGGTGAGGACCTCGCATCTAATAGCGACGTAGTCAGAGGAGAAGCAAGAGGAAGTGGGGTCCCTTAGGCCAGAAGGGGTTCCCAGCCAAGGGGCCCTGAAGGAGCAAAGGCTTGGGGGAGGATACGCCTGAACCTCTGGTATTGGAGATTTCAAGATGTGACATAATTGGGTGGGCGTGGGCAAGGGGTCCAGGCGGCGTGGGGAGACTAGGCAGAGGGGTCTCAGTGGGGATGGGGACATAGGACATTGGGTCAAGGGGGGTGGGGGCCAGGCAGAGGGGTCAGGGTGGCGTGGGGGGCTAAGGCAGAGGGTCAGGTGGGGTTGGAAGCACAGGGAGCCATAAGAGCCCAGAGGAGGACCTTGTTCCTGCCCAGGTAGACATCTGGGAGGGCTTGCTGGAAGAGGGGGCTCTGAGCACAGACCTTGAGAATAGGCAGGCATGAGGACAGTGGAAAGGAGGGAGTGCGAGGGTGTGCCAGGCTGAGGGGGCAGCATGTTGTAAAGCTAGGAATGGGCAGATGGGGTCCCCGTAAAGTACACGTGGTCTTGGGGGGCTAGAGTACAGAACCAGAAATGGAGCTGTTGGGGCAGGGCCTTGTCCAAATACAGAAGAGCTGAGACCGCTGGTGAGGATGGACTGGAGGTTGGAGGGGGCCGGGCCCCAGGGAGAAGGCTGGACCAGGGTCAGATGGGGAGGGCCGAGGGGGGCTGTGGGAAGCTGAGTGGGCCCATGTGGGGACTGATCGGTGGGGAGGAAGCACTCAGGACTGGGCTCAAACCTTCCCTGAGACTGAGACGGGGCCAGCAGGGAGCAGCAGACCTGGAGTCACAGGGGTGAGGCGAGGGGCGCCCTGGGAGACTGCTGGAAGCTGAGTGAAGTGGGGAAGATAAGCTGGGGTGCTCACTGGAGAGGTGGGAACTGAAGCCGAAAAGGTGGAAACTGTGGCCCAGGAAAGGTATGAGATGAGAGGTGACCGGGCGCAGCCTGGTGACTCTCCTGCCCCCTCACAGGGTGTGCTCCGTGCGCTCCGTGGACGGCTCGCCCACCACCGCCTTCACGGTGCTGGAGTGCGAGGGCTCCCGGCGCCTCGGCTCGCGGCCCCGGCGCTACCTGCTCACCGGCCAGGCCAACGGCAGCCTGGCCATGTGGGACCTGACCACCGCCATGGACAGCCTCGGCCAGGCCCCTGGTACCCCCACGTGCCCCGCAGATCCACCCTGAACCCCCCTCACCACCTCCTTCATTGTGATCTTCCGCTCCAAACTCTTGCCCTCTGACCTCTGCTCTGCCCTGCCCCCTCCCGGCCCTCCCTCTTCAGCCCCTCTCAGCTTTGGATGCGCCTGGCCCTTGACCTCTGCAACTTTTCTTCTATCCCCACCCTCGACGTTTGCCCTTTGCCCTGTGATGCTTATCTTGCCCCCCTGACCCCTCGTCCCTGACCCCAGCAGGCGGCCTGACAGAAGCAGAGCTGATGGAGCAACTGGAGCAGTGTGAGCTAGCCCCACTGGCCTCCTCTCGGGGCTTCCCCCTCAACCCGTCCCCCCGAACTTCCTTCACCAGGTAGGCATAACTCACCCTTCTGTGCAGTGGGGCAGAAGGGACAGCATGGTGGCCTGGGGAAGGGGGTGTGGCCCGGCTTCTCAGTAATGACCTGCAGTAATCAACCCCTTCTCTCCAGTCTCTACTCCGCTTCCAGCAACAGCGGCCTGTCTAGCCGCCGTGGGAGCCCCAGCCCCCCGCAGGCTGAGCCCCGGCGTCGTGGGGGAGGCAGCTTTGTGGAACGCTGCCAGGAACTAGCACGGAGTGGATCGGAACCCCGAAGGCCACCGACACCAGCTCCCAGGCCCTCTGCAAGTCTTGGGGTTCCTCTGGTACCCCCCAAGATGAAGCTCAATGAAACTTCTTTCTGAACACAGCTGCCTTTGGATATGAGGTCCTGGGAGACTCAGGTGCCTCCCTGCCTCCTGTCTGAGCCCTGGAATCAGGACCAGGGCGTCCTTGGAGTGGTCATTGTTACTAGGTCCTTGCTATTCCCTTTTCTGGAGCCAAAGTTACCCTTCCGTAATAAAGTTCTCACTGCCAACACTTTGCTTACGTTCTTAGAGGGTTCAGAGACACCCAAGGAAAGGGTGGGAGAGATGGGGGGCCCAGTGGGGTCCCTGACTGTAGATTCAAGAACACCTGTCTTTCCTGGTTTTAACAAAGGAGAATGTCTGGGTTGACATCAGGCTTCAGGTTGGGCTGGATCCAGGACTCTACCCCTCATCCAGATGTCTTTCCATCCTTTGACTTAATTTTCCTCTGGGATGCATCATTCTCAATTTTTCCCTTTTCTGTGCCAAGAGGACTCCAGGTGGCTTCTTAGCATTTTTCCCCCTCTCTAGTAGCAGCAAAAATCAATGATTCTCTTTTGCTTGAATTGAGTCATGGTCATCCCTGACCTAGTCACTGTGGCTGGTGTGGAGGGCTTCAGTTGTTCCACTCTGGGTCATGTGCCACAAGTCAGGAGGTGAATTCTGTCCATGTGGACAGAATTGAAGAGATGTCTCTGAATCAAAGGAGTTACCACCTGTAGGGGCGAATACAGTACAGGTTGATAGAAACGTATGATTTCCATGTCCTAAATGTCTACCCCAAAACTTGCCTCCACAAACACCTTGCCCACATCCTGGGCTGCCAGTCTTTCACCCCTTTCCTTCCCACACCAGAGAAGATATGTGAGACATTTCAGCTCACCCTGGCATATTGGTTGGTGTGTTTCCCCACCCCACCCCCCAAAAAAAACACCTTTTCTTAGGGGAACTCCTCAGGGAAATTTTCTTCCTCTTTTATTTGGGTCAGTGAAGAGGAGACAAAGTAGACCAGACTAGGAATAAGGGATTTTAGAATATAGTAATTCTAGAAACTCCGAGTTTCTCAATGCCAGAGGTGTAAGTGGAGAGGGGTTTGATGATGGGGAATATGGAATACAGATCTTCTAGAATGCTCCTGGATGAATTCTCTAGCATATCAGAGATTCCAGACAGAAGTTTCTCACAAAAAGACTTGAAAGGTCACTGGTGCTGGAACATAGGAGTGTTCTAGAATGTCAATGAATCTCCACCAATTGGTATATCTTCACATCTGAAATTCCAGAATGCTGAGAATTAGAGGGCATGGAAAGGAATTGGATTACTAGGCTATCTAGAGCATAGGGGGTGTTCTGGAATGTCTGTCCTTCTAGATCACTAGAGGATTTGTTTGCATTCCAAGAAATCCATAATGGCAGGGATTCTGGAATGTTAGAGAATCTAGAAAATAAATAGGAGACCTGCAAGGTAAGTAGTTCTAAATCCTGGATGTTCTGGAATGCTTGTGGTTCTCAAATTCAGCAGTTTGTTTTTTGGGGGGTGGGGTGGAAGTTTCAACGTTAGGAAGTCTAGAACTTAAGGGGATTGGGGATGTCAGGGAATCTAGAATATGGAGCTATTTTGTAATCTACAACATTGTGATTAATTTCCCATGCCAGGGAATCCAGAACACTGTGTTTTTGGAAAACTTGTGATTTTCGAACTAAGAATGAGTGAATATCAGGAAAAATCTAGAACAAGAAAGAAATTTGTTTGTTAAGAGCAGGTTTAAAACCGAGTGTGAGCACACAGTGGGAGGAAGCTTCTGGAATGCCATGGTTCTAGAAATGAGGGTTTCCGAAGAGTTGAGATCGGATCAGGATCCAAGGGGTGACATGGAAACCATCCTGGGAGATCATAACGCTGAAGGGGAGCGATTGGGAGCTGGGGACTACAAATTCTGTGGGGGAGGGGAAGCCAACGCCATCCCCGGAAGTTGCAGTGGTGAGCCAAAGGCTGTTGCCTAGCAACGAGCATTGAAGATGCCCTGGATCTCAGACAGAAGGGAGGAATTTCGGCAGCTCCCCCAGCAAATGCTCCTGTCAAAGGGAAGGAGGTGGGTAGTGGGGGAACGGGTTGCAGGGCCATGTTAGCAGGAATCTTGGGGGCCACACCAAGACAAGGACGCGGGGCACGTGCAGCGGGCAGAGCCAGGCACTCCACCGTCGCGCTGGGACAGCCCTCGAATGCCTGTGAGTGGGGCCTGAGTGCCGTCGGTACTGATCCAGAGGGCTGCGTGTCCCTGGGCAATGGGTGGGCCCAGATTTCTGGGTGTCGGTGTGGGATGGAGGGGTGGATTGCCGTAGGTGGCAGTAACGGGTTGAGCGTGACTGCGTGAGTCAGCCTGTGCCTCCCTGGATAACAGCGGGGGAGCGTGACGGGGTTCCCGTCTGCCTCTGCCATGCGTACCTTCCACGGGAAGAAGGAGCGGGAATGGCAGATAAAGTCGAAGCTGACTCGGTTGCTGTTTTTAGTCCGGTGGACCCGACGGCCGGGGGTGAGGAGCAGGCTGCGTGGGCGGGGCTTAGGATCGGCTGTGGGCGGGGCCAACGCTACCGCACTGGGGATCTTCAGAATCAAGCTGCTGTCAGGTGGGGCCTGGAGCCCCTGAAGACAAACATGAAGGGGTGGGACTAAGTGTGGGTCAGCGCCCAAATTCTGTGTGGAAAAGGGGGTGGTCTGAAATTCAGGAAAATGTGACAACCAGGGGGCGGGGTCTGAAGCTCTGGGGGCGGTGCCTTTGGGAAAAGAGGCTGGGTTTCTAATTCCAAAGAAAGAAGGTGGGGCCTTGGCTTTATAATGAGGGAAAGGGCCTGAACTTGCAACCCTTTGAGTTGGGAGGCTGTGAGCAGGGCTGGGGGTCTGCCAGCCAGTAAAATGGGTGCAGGTGGGTCCTAAGGTCCCCTGTGGCTTCGGGCTCTTAATTGTAAAGGTCCCTAGGAAGGGAGAAGGCTGGAATTCTCTAAGGATAGAAGCTGCAATTCCAAGAGTGTGTGTGTGTGTGGGGGGGGGGGTGTGTGCTCTTGAGAACCTTTATTCGAGGAGGCAAGGCATTCTGGTCCTCTAGAGGCAGCCGGTGGAGAGACAGATAAGGAGAGCAGAGCCGGAGTCCTATGGAAGCACAGTTTGTGGGTCGAGAGCAAAATGTACATCCTTAAGGGGCAGAGGCTACCGCCTTTTGAGGAACAAACATTTGCTTGTTGAGCCCGGACCCCCTGAAATAAAGAGCCTCGAGAGGGGGCAATTTCTATGGGAAGGTGTAGGGTGAGTCTGGGACCCTCAGAGAGGCGGGACCTGGAGACCTAATGTAAATTTTTTAAATTTATTTATTTTTATACAAGAACTGGGGTACAGGCCAGAGATACGGGGGGTGAGAGACAGAGACAGAGTGGGGAACAGAACAAGCAGATGGACCGAATTACACTGCTGAGGGGAGCAGCGGGAGAGACAGGGGAGGTCTGTCCCGCCATGTGGGTTTCTCCCTGGCTGGCCGGGGGATCGAACTCGCGCTGCAGTGGCTGAGGACTGCTTCATAGGTTGCGTCTTAATCCCTGCGCCACCAGGGAGGCCCCCTAATGTAAAATTTATGCACTGCCCCCAGAATCCTGAGTCTCTCCCGTGAGAAATGGGCACCTGTGAGAGTTTTGACATCTGCACCAGTCAGGGAGCAAATTTTAATCGCGTTGTCGCTCAACTGTGAGCAGAGATGATGCCTGCGAGTGGGATCTAGTTTAGGGGTCCCCGCCCACCGCCTTCACATCCCTCCCCAGTCATGGGAGGGGTCTCAGTACCTCCACACTTGGAGCCTCTCCTCGAAAGTGTTCACTGGAGCGCCCCACCAAAGCACGGAGGACTCCAGGCCCCAGCGCCCCCCTCCCGGCACCTGTGCCTCGAGCCCCTCCCCTGCCGCCTGCTGATTGGCCGCGCAGGCAGGGCCCCCTGCCGGCACCGCGCTCGGATTGGTGGGAAGTTCGCAGCCCGCGGCTGGGACGGCGGAGAAATTGAGTCGGTCTGGGGCGGGGGCGGGGGCGGGGGCGGGGCCGCTCGGAGCTGGACCTGCCGGACAGACGGTCCGCCCGAGCAGGACTCCACGCCTGACACGATGCGGCAGCCCGGCCCCAGCGGCGGCTCCCCCCTCCTGCTGGTGCTGCTGCTACCGATGCTCGCAGCCGTCGCCGCGTCCACCGCCAGCCCCAGCCCTCGCCAGGCCGTCGAGGCTGCGGTGGTACCGGGCAGCCCGGCTGGGTAAGCCCCGCGCGAACCCCTCTGCCTCGCGCCGCCTCCAGCCAAGATGTCTGGTGGCCCGGGAGTACCAGGACTTTCGGAATTAGGGGAATTAGAACTCACTGCCTCGGGTGGGGAATGAAAAGGCCCAGAACCACTGACTTGTGAAGGCCCTCAGCTCTGTGTGGGTTAGAATCTGAGGTTTTGAGGGGCAGGAGTCCCCTTGGGTGTGCTGGAGAGGGCTCCAGGCGAGTCTAGGGTTTATTTGGAGAAGGGTCACCCGTTTATGTAAGGATGGGACTCTGAGTTCTCTTAGGGTGATAAGTAGGGGGGAGCCCTCGCTCACCTAGAGTTTCCCAGGTTTCTTGGGTGCTTAAGGAGGAGGAGTATGGAAGATGGTGGAGAGGTTTTATTCGCGAGTGAGATGTTCTGGGGTTTTGGGGGTGACTGGATTAACTAAAAGGGACCCTTGGATTTTCCTGAGCTTAAGAAGGCCTGGGCGCTTTGGTTGAAGTGGAGGGGCTTGTGGGGAGTTGTGCGGGGAGGGGGTGTCCTCATATTTCAGTAGGATTGGGGATGCTCTTGTGTCCTAGAATTAGAGGGCTCGGGGCTTGAATGGAGAACCAGTGATTTCTGGGTGAGAGATGCAAAATTTCTTATAGACTTGGGGGTCACAGCCACCTTTCCTGTCTGAGGGCGACGAGTTCTAAGGAAACAGCCCGCCCAACACCCCCAGCCCCCGCCCAGCGGCCCAGCGGCCCAGGCTGCGTTACAAAGGCCCCGGGCTTCGCTCCCGCCTCGGTCTCTGCGAATGCGTTTAGTAACCCGAGCTGCTCCGGGGGCGGGGCTGGGAAGGGGTTAACCCGGAGAAAAGGCGGGAGGGAGGACGGAAATTTCGGGGAGTCACGGAGACTCCCACCCAGGCACCGTCTTCCTCCACTGGGCCCCCCTCCTCTGGAAAGAGCCCACGGGCCAGATGCCCCTTCACGGTAGCCCCAGATGCCCCTCTCTCGGGGCTTGCGCTCGTGTCCCCGTTCTTCGTCCCCCTTAGCTGGGCAATAATGGATTTGTCTGGGGGGCCCCTTGCTTGGGACGCACTTGCGCCCAAGCGCTACCCGGAATCGGGGACCCTCTGGGCGCGGAGATTTCTCCAAGGACGGCTTCTTCCCCATCCCCCGTTCCTCCCCCCCGCCCCCTCGGCGGGAAACTGAGGCCTTAAGACCAGGAGAGGCTGACTCCTGAATGCACAGCGTGCGAGGGCGAGAAGGGGCTAGGACTTGGGCCGCGGGCTTCCTAGTCTGGCACTGCGGCTCCTTGCGAAGCCCCCTCCAGCTCAGCCCTCTGCGGGACCCGCGGCCAGAGGAGGACCGCCCCCACCCCAGCGGCTGAGGCCCGTGGAGGTGGCGCCACCTGCCGGTCATGTGCGGGATGACGGCCGAGTCCGGGCCTGGGAAGTGCGGGGCAGGCGGGGTTCAGAATGCCCAGACAGTGCGGGCTTGCAGGGCGCTTAGAAATCCTCTTTGAACTTTAAAAAAAAAAAAATCATTATTAAAAGACTTTAAAATGTATTTTGCAATATGATCTTACTGCCAACACACTTCAGCAGGCAAATAAAAGTAAGATTGCTCTGTGACCTTCATCCCTGGAGAAATGAAATAAAATTGCCTCCCTCTGTACAGAGCAGGAAACTGAGGCATGGAGGGTCATGCCTCCAATTCGTCACTCATCTCTTTGGAGCACTCTCAAGCCTTATCTTGGCTTTAGCTCGCCTATCCTCCATTGCCCTTCTTTGGGGGTGTTTAGAGCCATAGCAGCCCGAGTGACCTCCCCACCTCTATTTATAGTGTTACTGCTTGTCGCTGTTGTCCAGGCCGACCGCCCAGGAGGAGCCGCTGCTTCAGAGGTGGGTTTCTCTAGGGGGGCTACAGGAAAAGGGTGAAAGGACATAGGAGGGAAGGGACTGAGACCTCCCTTCTTCACCCCTCAAGCCAGCTGGAGAGCTGGGTGCACTCGGTGGCAAGAGGAACTCGGCCTCTTCCTCCTCCACTTAGTCCCTGGCTGTCTCCAAAGCCTCCTGCAGGCTCCAGAACTGTCCACCAGAAAAGTGTGCAGGCTCTCAGCGGTGCCCCACCCCAGTGCCCCCATCGCTTCCGAGCCCCAGCCCCAGCGTGAAGAAGAGACAGGTGTCCCTTAACTGGCAACCACTGACGTGAGTGTGTGATCCCTGCCCCATGACTGTGCCCCTGAGCTTCCGGCTCACCTTTCTCTCTCCTCCCCCCAACACACACTTGTTACCTTCTCTTTTCCTGCCTGTCATATTCTGTGCTTTTAGCCTTTATCTGTCTCCAAGCCCCTCTCTCTGTCTTTTCCATCTGTCTCCTTCCAGTTCTCTCGATACTACCTGTCTCTTTCCTGGTGTCTCTGCCTCTATTCCTTCACTCCCTTCAATTCTGTTTTTCTCACCAGCTTCCTCTCTGTCTCCCAGGCTCGAGAGAATGCCCAAGTCCTGGTCCCCAAAGGGATAGGGGGTGGGGAGGGCAGAGCCGCTACTGGGTGACCTCCTAGCGTGGGAGGGCCCCTCGAGGGAAGGGGGGGGTCAGCCTAATGGCGATGACAGCTCCTTCTCTGCCACCTCCCACCCAGGCTGCAGGAGGCCCGAGCTCTACTGAGGAGACGCAGGCCCCGCGGGCCAGGGGGCCGATCACTGCTGAGAAGGAGGCCCCCACTGCACGCCCCTGCCGGCCAGGCCCGGGGTAAGAACATCCGCCCTTCCTCCGCCCCGGGGGCGGGGGTTCCGGGCCAGATAAAGTCGTCTGGTTCCCACGGTCAGGCCGCCGCCTCGCCACCCCTCATTGTAGCTCGGCCCCCCACCCCAACCAGGACGCAGCCCCCTCTAGGGACCCCGGCGTCCGGCCGGGAGAGGTGAGCCCAGGACAGAACCAGACGCCAGCCAGAGGCGCTGACCCGCGGGGGTGGGGCCGGGAAGCCAGGCGTCCCGGCTCCCCGCGGCCAAAGAGGGGGGCGCTGTCCCGGCAGAGCTCAGTCGAACTAGCCCAGACAACAAAAGCGATTGTACGCGTTGGCGCCTGCCCAGTCACCGAATGCCCAAAATTTCTTGGCGGCTAGGGTCCAAAGGCCTCCCCTGCTTCCCCAGCCCTCCTGCGGCCGTCCTCCCGCCCCAACGCGCAGCCCCCTGGGCTAGCACACCTAGTCTAAATCACCCTCAGAAGTCCCCCTCCTGCTGTGGCCTTCTGCCCAGATGTGTCCCCTCCTTCCTAAAGTCTTCCAGATGTGGGCCTCTGGCCAGCTGTGAGGACCCCCGCCCACAGCCTTAATCCACTACTTCCCTTTATCCATTCTGACTTCTCCTACCAGGTGTGGGGGGTCCTGACCAGATGTGGCTGCATCCTCAAAGTTGGCCCCTCCCAGCGTCCTGCCTCAGGATCCAGACCCCCAATTCCTTCCTGTGCCCAGGTGCACGGACCCTTCCCTGCTTCCCAAATGTATCACCTGGCTGCCCAGATGTGCCAGGACAGCCCCCTATCCAGATGAAGTTCTTTCGTTGTGTCTAGGGCGGGGAATCAGCCTTTAGCCGTCTCCCCAAAGACGGCCCCCGCTGCTCTTTCCTCTTTGTGGACGCAGCCCTATCTGGGGAGAAACCCTCCCGCCCCCACCTGTTCCCTTCCCCACCACTCCCCTGCGGGCCCCATTCACTTGTCCGTGCGAGGAGGGGGCAGAGAGGGCGCCCCCCTCCCCCCTGCGAGTCTAGCGCCCAGCCCGCGCGCCTCTGGCTGAGCGCCCAGCCCCACGCGCCCCCGCGCGGCCGCCGGGGAGGGAGTAGTGGGGAGGGGGGGCCCTGAGCGGGGGCGCGGCCGCCCTCCCCCGCGGGCGGGCGGGCGGGCGCGGCCGGGCCCCTCCGGCGGGCTGGGGCGGCGGCGCGGCGGAGCGCGGCGCTGCAGCCATGGCGGGCGGCGCGCGGCTGCTCTGGGTGTCGCTATTGGTGCTGCTGGCGCTGCTCCGGCCGCAGCCCGGGCTGGGCCGGCCCCGAGAGCGCCTCCGCGTGCGCTTCACCCCGGCCGTGTGCGGCCTGCGCTGCGTCCACGGGCCCACCGGCCCCCGCTGTACCCCGACCTGCGCGCCCCGCAACGCCACCAGCGTGGACAGCGGCGCGCCCGGCGGGGCGGCCCCTGGGGGATCCGGCTTCCGCGCCTGTGAGTGCGGGGTGGTGGTCCCGAGGGAGGGGTGTCCAAGGGGAGGAGGATCCCCGGGGATGGGGGAAGATAGTTCCCCAGGGAGAGGAAGTCCAGATTCCGGTTGCAGTCGTGCTGGGGAATCCCTGGAGGTGTTTGAGGAAGGGAACCTCAAACTCCTTGTTTGGGGGGGTTGGGTCCTGAGGATCCAGATTATTTTGCAAGCACTGAGTGTTCTCAGGGATCTGTGGCGTCCCACGTGAGGGGACTGGGGCCGGCTTTCATGCTTTTGAGTACCAACGACGGGGGTACCAGAACCGAGGGGTCTGGGAACTTTGGGGAAGCGGGCCAAATTTTGAGACAATGAGTGAGGGGTTTCCAGACACTGAAGAAGCACTTCAGAACTGGGGGTGGAGGGGGTGTCCCCGTTTCTGCGTCTTTGGATGGGAAGGATTAGCGGAGTTCGGGATGAGAGTGCCTGTGAGGAGGAGGGCTGGGTGAGGAAAGTTGTTGGGAGAAATGGAAGGAGGGTCTTTGCTGGACCCCGAGTTGCAAGGGTCCCACGTGGGACCGAAATCCAGACAGGAGGCTTAGGGGCAGGGGCGCCCCCTGGAGGCAGAGAGACAGAGGAGGGTGCACCCCAGGTACCCCAGAGATGAGGAGTTCAGGTGAGGCGAAGAGAGCAGGCCACCTGTTGGCCCTCGAGTGCAGCAGTGGGTAGGTTCTTGGGGTCCAGGCTTACCTGCCCCCCAACCCTGGAGCCCTCTGGAGTGGGGATTGGGGGCCCCTGGCGCCTAGAACTCGCCCGGCCTGGCTCCTAGCCAACCCAGCCCTGGCCGGCGTGAGCTCATCTCCCGCCTGAGACCCGCCTGCTGCCACTCCCTCTCCCCCCCTCCTCCCTCCGCCCTCCACTCCCTCCCAGCCCAGCCCCAAAGCGACCGTGCCAGGCGCCGTGCCCAGGCGGGTGCCAAGCCCCTGGAGGCACAGGAGGGGCCTGTGAAGGGGGGTGCTGACCTCGGCAGGACCCTGATGTCCTCAGCTCCTCATTCCTCCAGGGGCGTGGGGTGTGGAATTGGCCATGCCCTATCTAGCAGTGGCCCAGGCCTGGCGTCGGGGTCCTTGGGGAGCTTGACTGGGGCTTGCGTTGAAGCCAAGAGAAGGAGGGGAAATACCCTTGAAGGCTGGAAAATGCCCCCAGACCAGGTTGGATTACCAACCCTGCCTCCACCCATAGATCTTTCCTATTTTGGAATCCTGATTCCTAGTTAAGGCTCTCCTTGGCTTGCCACTCAGTCAAGAACCTCTGTTAGTGCACGCCGCAGTCCTGGCCTGACTCTCCTAACTGGAGGAACTCAGAGTCTCTGTTCTCAGACCCTGAGGCCCCCCCCCCCATCAACGTAATTCAGAGACCAGCCCCTCCTGTGTTTCCCTGCCATTCTTCTAATGTACTCCCCCCCCAAAAAAAAACTGTACCCCTCACCAGAGAACTCTGTAATAATGTCCCTTAGCTACTCCTCTCCATCTCCTGGAGAAAGCCCAGATTACAATCACCATAGCACCGCGACAGAGCCCAAGTCTAGCCCTCTCTCCTCAAGACTCCCATTTTCTTATGTTTCCAACTGATTCCCATTAGAGAGTCCCAGTTCCTGTCTAACTCCTGCTCTTCAAATTCACCAGGAGCTTCTGGATCCATCAACTTCAGAGAACCCCTGAGTTGGTGTTTAAAAAAAAAAAAGATTTATTCATTTATCAATACAAGAACTGGGGTACAGGCCAGAGGCGCCCGGGGCAAGAGGTGGCGGTGAGAGGATTCGCCAGAGACAGAGTGGGGAGCAGAACAGGCAGCATGACTGAAATGCACTGCTGAGGTGAGCAGGAGTGGTCTGCTGCACCATGTGGGTAGCTCCCTGGCCGGGGATCGAACTTGTGCTGCAGTGATTGCGGATAGCTTCATAGGTTGTGTCTTAACCTCTTGTGCCACCAGGGAGCCCCCCCCCCCCATTGGTCTTGATCAGCTGATTCTGCTGGCAGGACTCTAGGTGCTGTGCTCCCCCCACGTAGCCATTAACCAAAACACAAGGCATCTATCCTTTCACTGGGAGGGAAGAGGGATTTCTTATTTTAGGGTCTTCCCAGACAACTGAGGCTTTCATGTGCTGGAACGCCCCAGAATTTTGCTTCTCTGTTTAAAGCCTGTTCTCAGCAATCTCAAATTGGCCATCCCCTAGAAGGCCTTAGAGCAATTTTGTAGCTAACTCTCCCCAAAAGGACCTAAGGGCACTGTTTCCTCCCAGCGAGGCTTCCTTTCCACTCCACAGTGAACCACCTTTGAGCCCCGGAGTTCTGTCCTCTAGCTGATCTCTCAGCAGCCCAGTTTCTTTACCTTTCTAAACTGAGGGGGCTTCTTCTATGCTTTCCCCTTTCTACTTGTCGCTCAGGGTCCCACACACCCGTTCCTGGACGGCCCCGGCCGCCAGCCCCCGTCCTCCCCTCAGTACAGCTGTTTCCAGCTGTTCTCGCCAGCCCCGGGGGAGAAAGGGGGGTTGCCCTCGCAGGACACGTCCGGCCTCCTTTGGCTCAGCGGGTCCGGGGCTCCCCAAGGGTCCGGAATGCGGAGCCACCGCCCTACCCCCGCCGCACCCCTCTCTTTGTTTACCCCGCCACACAGCTGGCAGTTCCCCGCCCCGAGGTGGCCTGGGGCCCAGCGAGGGCGCGCGGAGGGGAGCAGAGGCGCGCTCCCGCTCGTGGCGCCGCCCCGGGGCTACCGGAGGCGGGAAGGCAGAGCTGGGACTCGGGAGCCAGAGCCGGAGGGGAGGTGGGTGGAGACAAAGCTCGGCGGGCTGAGTCCTGAACGTCGCGGGGTGTGGCGGGAGGCTGGCGAGCGAGCGCGTCTGGGCAAATCGGCGCGAGGAAAGGTGCTGGCGGGGCGGGACCCCGCAGCTCCCTCGCCCGCAGCCGGGGGCCTGGAGCCCCGCGGGCCGGGCCGGGGGCGGGGCGTGGGGGCTCCACGGCCGGGGGCGGGGCCTGGGCGTCGCGGACCCGGCCTGGCGGGGTATGGGCGTGCCTAGAATTGTGGGGCGATCAGGCTGGAAAAGGGGGAGCGGTGCCGGGAGTGACTACTGTGTGGTTTTGGTCAGTGGAAGGGTCTAGCGCTGCAGCCGCGGGGCTGGGACCGCAGAAGCCCCAGACAGACGGCCGGAGGGGAAGGAGCTGGACGGAGAGGGTGCGGGCGGGGTGGGGGCCCCGCAGCCGGCGAGGGGCAGGGCGAGAAAATGAATGGAGAGGGCGTGGCCAGTCGGCCGGGCGGAGGCGCTCCCCGACGGAGGGGTGTACCCCGTGGTCCACGCCGAGGGCCAGGGTTGGTGAGGGCGGCACGAGACAGCTCAAGATGCCTTTGAGGGTATCGTTGCCCCGTCGGGGCCTGAGCTAGCTTGGGGGTACGGGCCCCAGGCGTGCCTGCCAGGAGGTTTGCCCACCCTGAACGTCCTCGTTCTCCCCCCCAGTCCTTTGTCCCTTGATCTGTCACAACGGCGGTGTGTGCATGAGGCCTGACCGCTGCCTCTGTCCCCCGGACTTCGCGGGCAAGTTCTGCCAGTTGCATTCCTCGGGCGCCCGGCCCCCGGCCCCCGCCTCGCCAGGCCTCACCCGCTCCGTGTACACCATGCCGCTGGCCAACCACCGCGACGACGAGCACGGTGAGGAGGGCGCGGCTGGAACCCCCCGCCCCGCCCCTGCTCTGTCCCGCCGCCTCGCCATTGCTCCGACCCCACCTTTCCTGTCTCCCCCTGAGTACCTTTCCTCAGCTCGCCCTTCGCCCCGTGCCTAGTCCCCGTCTGCACGAATCTTTGTGGACACCCTGTTGCCCGCCGTGCCCCCCGCCAGGCGTGGCGTCCATGGTGAGCGTGCACGTGGAGCACCCGCAGGAGGCGTCGGTGGTGGTGCACCAGGTGGAGCGCGTGTCCGGGCCCTGGGAGGAGTCGGCCGCCGAGGCTGTGGCGCGCGCGGAGGCGGCCGCGCGGGCGGAGGCCGCAGCCCCCTACACGGTGCTGGCCCAAAACGCACCCCGCGAGGACGGCTACTCGGATGCCTCGGGCTTCGGCTACTGCTTTCGGGAGCTGCGCGGAGCCGAAGTGAGAGGCGGCTGGTGGGGAGGGGCCGGGGCCGGCGGCCGCGCGGGGGCGCGCTCACCCAGCTCTCCCCGCAGTGCGCGTCGCCCCTCCCCGGGCTCCGGACGCAGGACGTCTGCTGCCGAGGGGCCGGCTTGGCGTGGGGCGTTCACGACTGCCAGCCGTGTTCGGGGTACCAGGGTAAGCCCAGGGCACCCCACGCCCCCGAGGAGCTCGGAGCTGGGGAGCGGTGAACCCCCCACCCCCCGTGCGTGGATCATCTCCGGGCTAGACCATTCCGATTTGGGAACCCCTTCTCCGTCCGCTTTCTGACTTTGGCTGCTCAGTCCTCACCCTGCACTGGCCCCACTCGGGCACTTCTGGAACCTCCTCATCAGCCCGGGACTGACCTTGCATTCAAATCACTCCCGGCACCTTTTAATCCTTCCCACCTATTTGGTCCCCAGCATTCAATTTTGGGTTCGCTGGCCCCTGGCCCACACCCTCCTCACTTCACAGGGAACTCCAACAGAGTGGGCGCCCTTGATGGACCTTGTCCAACCGGTTTTGAAAGAATTAATGGGTCCTGCGAAGGTGAGATGAAGAAGGGGCTTGACTTGAGGGGCGGGCATGGCAGGGAGCTAGCTTCCCACGCCCGCGCTATCAACCCCGACCCCGCAGATGTGGACGAGTGCGCCACAGGTGGGCGCTGCCAGCACGGGGAGTGTGCGAACACGCGCGGAGGGTACACCTGCGTGTGCCCGGATGGCTTCCTACTCGACTCATCCCGCAGCAGCTGCATCTGTGAGCCACCCCGAGGGAGCTGAGGGGATTCCATGGCTATGACCCCCCTTCCCAGGCTCCATCCCAGAACACCCCTGGGCCTTTCATTCCTTTAGACACCCTCATATCATATCCCCCCCAGGCTCCCAAGTCCCTCCCCTGACTCTTAGATGGCCCTTAGAACATCTATGATTCTCATGCACACTCAGATTCCCTGGATCTTCTTCAGCCCCACCAAGAACCCCTCAAACCTTTTGGATCCAGATTCTTTCAGATCCCCATTTTCGTCAGCAATTCTCAGGCTCTCAAATCCCTTCACTTTCCTCAACTACCAGATCTTCAGATCCTGAGATCCTTCCCAGATTCTCTCATTCACCCCTCAGATTCTCCAAACCCTTATCAGACCCCTCAGCTCTCCTTGGGACCCTCTCACACCCAGTACACCCTCCTGGGGATCATTCTCCTGCCTGGAGGACTGCCTGGTTCCTCTACCCTCCCTGCCCTACTCTGAAGAATTTCCTCCCGGTCCCCCAGCCCAACACGTGATCTCAGAAGCCAAGGGGCCTTGCTTCCGCGTGCTCCGCGATGGCGGCTGCTCGCTGCCCATTCTCCGCAACATCACCAAACAGATCTGTTGCTGCAGCCGCGTGGGCAAAGCCTGGGGGCACGGCTGTCAGCTCTGCCCACCCTTCGGCTCAGGTGAGCACCTCCAGCCCTGCTATCTAGTTACAGGACTCACTCTAGACTCTGCCCCCCGATGTTGAAGCTCCAGGTCTTCAGACGAGGCTGGATCCTAGCCTTGGTCTCTCCCCAGCCTCAGACACTGGCTATCCTCGGAGACACGCTCCATCCTGGAACCCATGCTATCCCTGGCCACACCCACCCAGTAGACACCCCTCTTGAAGTTAGGATGCCTGCCCTCTCCAAGTCCTCAGCTCCTGAGACTCTGCCACAGCTTACACTCAACGGGCCGGCCCCAGACACGCCCTTGCAGGCAACAGCCTTGGCAATTTTAGTTGATGCCAAAAACCAAAACCACCTTCCCCTTCAACCAACCTGTTTACCGGCTTTCAACCCAGTCTTCGGCCCAGACCCCACCTTCAGCCTCCCCCCATCATCACAAATAGAAAACCCTCACCTCTCTCTTTCTTTCCTTCCCTTTCCTGTTCGCAGAGGGTTTTCGGGAGATCTGCCCTGCTGGACCTGGCTACCACTACTCGGCCTCCGACCTCCGCTACAACACCAGACCCCTGAGCCAGGAGCCACCCCGAGTGTCCCTCAGCCAGCCCCGTGCTCCATCCTCCACCTCTCGGCCACCTGCAGGTGAACTAGGTTCTGGAGGAGGGGGTGTCATCTCCAAGGGGTTGCCCAGGCCATAGGGAAAAGAGGCTGCCCAGGAGTAGGGATGCTCAAATCCAAGTCTCTACCTGTTGATACCCATTCTCTTTTTTAAAAAAAAAATTTATTTATGCGTATAAGAACTGGGGTACAGGCCAGAGGCACAGAAAGGTGAGAGGATTCACCAGAGACAGAGCAGGGAACGGAACAGGCAGAGTGACTGAAATACTGCTGAGGGGAACAGCAGGCAAGACAGGAGAGGTCTGCCATGCCATGTGGGTAGCTCCCTGGTCGACTCATGCTGCAATAGCTGCAGATAGCTTCATAGTGCTGACGCTTAACCCCTTGCTCTACCAGGGAGGCCCCTGATACCCATTCTTTACTAGACTTTCTGCCCACCCATTTCTCAGAGCCCAGACCTGAAACCAGGCCTGAGCGAAGGCCAGAGTCTAGACCCGAACGCCGGCCAGATATCCCACCAGAACGACGACCAGAGACCCGACCTGAAAGTCGGCCCGACACCCGGCTTGATCATCGGCCAGAGACACGGCCTGATCGTCGGCCTGACGCCCGGCCTGATCATCGGCCAGAGACACGGCCTGGTCTTCGGCCTGACGCCCAGCCTGATCATCGGCCAGAGACATGGCCTGATCGTCGGCCAGAGACACGGCCTGATCGTCGGCCTGACACCCGGCCTGATCGTTGGCCAGACACCCGGCCAGGCCCTGAGCTTCCCCTGCCCAGCATCCCAGACCGGACTGGTCCTGAGGCCCCCGAATCAGGTGTGCTAGAGGGAAATGAGGGTGTTAATGGGAGGTAGTAAAGGTGAGGATCATAGGGGAGGGTCCAAGGTGAAGATTTCAGGATAGAACAAATAGGTACATCACAGCTAGAGGAATTAAGAAATGGAAAGAGATAAAGGCTTGGAGGGTTGGTTGGTGCTTTCATCAGGAGCTGGAGTTGGACAGACCTGTCAAGTGAATGAGTCATTTAATCTCCATGAGCCTCAGCTTCCTCATCTGTAAAGTGGGTATCATAGTGAGGACTCAGTGAGCTCTGTGGAGATCACTAAGTGCCCAGTTAATGTTAGGCAAATAATTGTTTTTCAGAGGGTACTGGAAATATAGTTCAGGCAGAGGATTGGAAGCAAAATATTCCACAATGGAAACTTTGGGGTCGCATTATGGGATGATCCTGGCTGAGAATCTGATGAGACTGTCCATGATAAAGGAGAGGAGGGTCAGAGGCAGAAGACTTGGGGAGGGACATCCACAAGGCTGTTTGAGGCAGAGAATCTGAGGGGATTGTACTGGGATAAAAGGGACAGAGGATTCAGAGATGGGGGAACCCTGGTTGACTGGACCCCCCCAGGTCCCTCCGTGGGTGTCTGTCAGCGCAACCCCCAGGTCTGCGGCTCAGGACGGTGCATCCCACGGCCCAGTGGCTACACCTGCGCCTGCGACTCCGGTTTCCGACTCAGTCCTCAGGGCACACACTGTATCGGTGAGCCAGGCAGACAGGGTGGGCGGCAGCAGGATGGGGGTGCTCTGCCAGTCACCTCCTTACCAGCCCCCTCTGTGTCCTCAGACGTGGACGAATGTCGCCGCGTGCCGGCGCCCTGTGTTCCTGGACGCTGCGAAAACACGCCTGGCAGTTTCCGCTGCGTGTGTGGCCCGGGTTACAGAGCCGGGCCCAGGGCTGGGGAATGCCTGGGTGAGAGATCGCCCCTCCTGGCCCCAGGCCCCTCCGGCCCCAGGCCCCACCCCGGCTCTGCTATGCCCTGGCCTGGCTCTTCGTTTTTTCCCCCACCAATCCCCTCCCCCCACCCCCACCCCCGTCCAGAGCCTCCCATATTCCTGCCCAGCCCCCCCAGTTCCCTCCTCTGGCCTGCAACTCCCGCAACCTAATTCTCTGATTCCTACCCTGCCGCAGCAGCGCCTTGTCCCGAAATCACCCCTTCCCTCGCTCCTGCTTTTCCTTTGCTGGGTTGCCAGAACGTCCCTTCCCGCCCTTGCTCTGCTCAGGCCCTGCCCTTCCGAAGTTCCCTTGGATCAAGGTCCCCTCCCCGCTTCTACCCCGTCAGGGTCCTGGCCTGCCCACCCCCGACCTGCCCCAGCCTGGTCCTCCACGCTGGGGTGTGGGAGGGGGCCGGTGAACGTCTCTCCCAGTGTCAGCCGCCCGCTTTGCGCCCGCAGACGTGAACGAGTGTCACCGCGTGCCGCCGCCGTGTGACCGCGGCCGCTGCGAGAACACGCCGGGCAGTTTCCTGTGCGTGTGCCCTGCTGGGTACCAGGCTCCCCCCCAAGGAGGCAGCTGCCAGGGTGAGGGCTTGGGAGGGGCGGAGCAGAGAGGACAGGGATGGGGGCGCGGGGTGGAGGGTGGAGTGGCAATGATGAGGTATGGAGAGCCTGAGCAGTCAGAGGAGGGAGGCTGGCAGTGGGAGAGGCCAGCTGCTGAGAACCACACGGCTGTGGTGGCTGAGAGACGGGCAGAGGGGCTCCGCCATGGCAAACAGAAAGTCTGTCGGGAAGACGGAGAGGATGGCGTGGAGGTGTCAAGTGAGGTGGAAGGGGTTCAGTGGTGGCAGGGCTCCTGCAGGCAGGCTGGAAAGGCAGAGGGACGGAGGATGGGAAGCAGCTTGATGCCGAGGTGGCAAAGTGATGGAGGATGGAAGGTTACAGCGACCGTCAGGGGAGCAGAGTGGGGGAGGGGGTGTAAGCGTGGTGTGACTCCAGCCCCTTGCCCACGCAGACGTGGACGAGTGCACCCAGAGCCCAGGCCTCTGCGGCCGAGGCGTCTGTGAGAACCTGCCCGGCTCTTTCCGCTGTGTCTGCCCGGCTGGCTTCCGGGGCTCAGCGTGTGAGGAGGATGTGGATGAGTGTGCCCAGGAGCCGCCGCCCTGCGGGCCAGGCCGCTGTGACAACACGGTGGGCTCCTTTCACTGCGCCTGCCCTGCTGGCTTCCGCTCCCGAGGACCGGGGGCCCCCTGCCAAGGTGAGAGCACCAAGCTCTAACCAGCTTCACCCCGGGCTGGAGAGCGGCATGGCTGCGGGTCAGAGTCAGGGTGATGGGGTTCACTGACGAGCACAAGGGCAGGGAGTGGGGTACTGAGAGGCTGGGGACGGTCCAACTCCAGAGTCATTTCCCCTTCAGATAGGAGGGTGCTCGCGGGACCTGAGGAGGGACAACTCTGAGGCAGGACAGTGTCCTGGCCTCAGCCTGGCAACGGGAGAGAACATTAACCGCGGACATGGGGCAGGAGCTTGTCCTCCCCGGGGAAGGGAACAAGTGTCTGGAATAGGCAGACTGGAATCCTCGGGTGGGTGGTGATGGCAGTGGGGATTGTCCCAGCCCCTCTTCAGTCTCTCTGTCCCTCTGCCCCAGATGTGGATGAGTGTGCCCGGAGTCCCCCGCCTTGCTCCTACGGCCGGTGTGAGAACACAGAAGGCAGCTTCCAGTGTGTCTGCCCCACGGGCTTCCAACCCAACGCTGCTGGCTCCCAGTGCGAGGGTGAGGCGGAGAGGGAAGGAGGATTGCAGATAGGTGAGGGGGACACTGGACTGCTCCTTCAAGGCCGCCCTCTCCCCTGCCCCCCAGATGTGGATGAGTGTGAGAACCACCTGGCGTGTCCTGGGCAGGAGTGTATGAACACACCGGGCTCCTTCCAGTGCAGAGCCTGCCCTGCTGGCTACCACCTGCAGCGTGGCCGGTGTGCTGGTGAGACCTGGCCCTGGCTGTGCCCCAGGGCCTGCATCACGTTCCCTGAGCCAGATCCTGAGCCCTGTGCTAGACCACACTACTGACCTGGCCCATAAACTCCTCCCCTGGACCTCAATCCCACAGAGACTGACAGTGACTCTTGGCCTCGATATGGGCCCCTGAGTGCAATTCCTGATCTGGACCAGGACCCTTGACCCTGAATGTGATTTCTCATATTCACCTATGAGACCCTTCCCTAGGGCCTGACTGAGTTCATGATCCCAAATCCCCATCCCTGACCCTCATTTGTCTCAGAACCTAGTCACTGACTCTGACCCCTGATTCAGCACAATGTCACCCTAGTTTCTAATACCTGACCCCTCACCCTAATACATTTCTGACCTGTCCCAGTCACTGCATCTGACCCCAGGTTCTGCGCACAGGGCAGCTCCCAGAAACCCACACCCCCAGAACTCCCAGTCACTGCCCCAGAATGGGGGAATCTTGGTCTCTCCTACCCACCTCTCCCATGGAGCCTTCAACTCAGATCCAACTTAAGACACTTCTCACCTTCTTCAGGCTCTCTGCCCCGAGGCCATTTCATGGTCCATTGAGCCCCTAGCCTAAACTTGCCCTTCTGAAACCCCGGTTCCCACAGATGTGGACGAATGCAGTTCGGGCGCCTCCTGCGGCCCTCATGGCCACTGCAGTAACACGGAAGGCTCCTACCGCTGCAGCTGCTCCCCGGGCTACCGGGCGCCCGCCGGCCAGCCGGGGCCCTGCGCAGGTGGGCAGCGCGGGGACGGGTGGGAGAGGCAGGGAGCGCGCCTGGGTTTGTGCGCCAAGTCCGCTGAGGGGCGGTGGGGGTTGGGGTGGCAGCTGGACTAAGGGCTGTGGGTGGGTGGCTGGGTGGAGCTTAGAAACCTGCCGTCCAGGCTGTGGCGCGGGACCAGGTTGTTGCCTTAGGCCTCAGGGTGCGGGGCTGTGACCCCACTGGCCTGTCTCTCGCATACCCTAGACGTGAACGAGTGCCTGGAGGGCGACTTTTGCTTCCCCCACGGCGAGTGCCTCAACACCGACGGCTCCTTTGCCTGCACTTGTGCCCCCGGCTACCGACCCGGACCTCGCGGAGCTTCTTGCCTCGGTCGGTATCCAGGGCCTGGGCCGGGCAAGGGTGGGCTTTTACCGGGATAAAGCAGGACGCGACAAGGCAGAATGGGGAGGCGGAATTTCAGACCCGTGTCTTCAAGCATCTCCTGCGAGAGGGGGTTGCAGAGCCTCCAGGCGTCAACCAGGGAGGGGGAGATTTGGAGGGGTCGGCGGCGGGGAGGACTTGGAGGGTCCGGAGGTGGGGGGGGCGGGGTCTGGAGAGTCGGACCGAGAATGGACCTTAGCGGGTCACAGGGGTGGGGCTTGCAGAGAAGGGAGGCGCCTAAGGCAGGTGGGGAGCGGCGCAGGAAAGGGTCTTGGAGCCAGGGGCGGGCAAAGGGCGGCCGAGGGGCGTGGCCCGGAATAGCCCGCAGAGGAAGAGGTGGGCCGGGTGTCCAACGCTGTCGCGCAGACGTGGACGAGTGCAGCGAGGAGGACCTCTGCCAGGGCGGCCTCTGTACCAACACCGACGGGTCCTTCGAGTGCATCTGTCCTCCGGGGCACCGCGCCAGCCCAGACCTCGCCTCCTGCCAGGGTGAGAGACCCCTCTCGGGCCTGATCCCGTTCTTCTCTACCTCCTGGTCTCCCCCATCTGCTCTTCCCCGGTGCTTGCTTTCCTGCCTCCCTCTTTTCTGCGGGGACTCCCCTCCTCTGCCTCCTTCCTTTCTTTCTCTTAGTCCCCCGTCTTCCATTTCTTTTTTGTTGTTATTGTTAGATTTATTTATTTATGCATACAAGCGCTGGGGTACAGGCCAGAGATGCAGGGGGTGAGATGATCCACCAGAGACAGAGTGGGGAGCAGAACAGGCAGACTGACTGAAATACCCTGCTGAGGGGAGCAGAAGGCGAGACAGGAGGGGTCTGCTGTGCTATATGTGGGTTGTTCCCTGGCCGGGCTGGGAATCGAACTCATGCTGTAGAGGCTGCAGATTGCTTCATAGTGCTGTGCTTAACCCCTTAGGCCACCAGGGAGGCCAGTCTTCCATTTCTGACTTGCCCTTCCTCCCAGTCTGCCTTGCCCCCCTGCGTCTTCTGCTTCCCCCATCTGACTGCCCTGCCTTACCCTGCAGATGTGGACGAATGTCGCGAGCGGGGCCCGGCCCTGTGCGGGTCCCAGCGTTGTGAGAATTCCCCCGGTTCCTATCGCTGTGTCCGGGACTGCGATCCTGGCTACCACGCTGGCCCAGAGGGCACTTGTGATGGTAAGACCCCTGTTCCACCCCAGACCACCCCCACGAGTTGTTGGAGGCAGCTCCCATGGGGACCCAGGAGGGGCTCCCTGTCTCTGTGGTGGAAATAAGCCACCAGGGATGGGAGGAAGAGGCCTGTCAGGAGCCAGGCCAAAGCTGGTTTCCAGAAGCAGCTCATGCCATTCCCCACCCTCTAAGGTAGGAATAATGCCCCACCCCCTTTAATCCACCTGTGGATTAAACAGTTTCTCCTTCCTCAGTCCCTTTCCTGGGGAAGTGCCTTCCCTTCCATCTCTCCAGATTCTGTCCTTTCCTGTTCCCCAGACTTCTCCAGCCCCAGGAAGGTAGAGCCCTGCCCCTTCCAGTCTCTTTTCTACCTTCAAGGCCTGTCCCTATTTTTCATCCTCTGCACTCCTATCTGTCCCTCACCTCTCACCCCTTCTACTTCTTTCTCTACTGAGCTCCAGCAGGTACTGACCAAGACCTGAGGTTAGGGTTAAGCTAAGTTGGGTTGTGATGGGGGGATTGTATGTGGATCAGCATTTAGTGGAACAAATGAAATGATAATGGGCTGCCTTTGGCTCTCTGGTTGCCAGACCTCTGGTTCTTTGTGTAAGCCTAGTTTTAGGGGATCTTATTCATTAATTCCACAAGAATTCATTAAGCTCCTGTTGCGTGCCATACATTGAAATACCACAGATAGTGACTAAAAAAAAAAAAAAAAGAACTGCCCTCATGGAACTGTGGGCATGGATTCGGGGGGCGGGGGGGAGGCGGGGGGACACACCAGAAGGTGTAAATCAAGATTCATTCAGCAAACAGGTTTGGGCACCTACTTTGTGTCAGGCCTAGGCCACAGCCTGGGGATATAATGAGCACCAAGGAAGATACATATCCCTGCTGCTGTGGAGTTTGCACTCTGGGGGGAGGAGGGGAGCTGAGGGAGGTGGATGCCAGTGAATACATGGATAATACAATGTCAAGGGTAAGAAGGAAAATGAAGCAGGATAGATGGACAGAGATGCCAGGGTAGTGGGGGAAGGGACACTAGGAGGGCTTGATCTAAATCCTTGAATGGAGGGAGGGAGGAACCCTGGTCATAGCTGAGGGAAGAGTGCCCTAAATGGAGGGAATAGCAAGTGTAAAGATTCCAAGGGGGTGGCCATGGGCTACTTGAGAAATGGCAATAAGGCCTTCAGTGTTATCAGTGCTTGTCAGTCTTTAGACGCTCAGACTCCTAGAATACCAGATTCACAAAGAGCTGGAAGCGGTGTCAGGGATGAATTCAGGTCGGTGACTCCCTCCCTCCACCCCGCCCCATCCTCCTGCAGATGTGGACGAGTGCCAGGAATATGGCTCAGCGATCTGTGGAGCTCAGCGCTGTGAGAACACCCCTGGCTCCTACCGCTGTGTACCGGCCTGTGACCCTGGCTATCAGCCCACGCCAGGGGGGGGATGCCAAGGTGGGTGTCCACTGGACACGGAGGGAGGAGGGGGGTGGGAGATGTGGAGGGGCAGAAGGTCCAGCAACAGCCTGACCATCTGACTCTCCTGCAGATGTGGATGAATGCCGGAACCGGTCCTTCTGTGGGGCCCACGCCGTATGCCAGAACCTACCTGGCTCCTTCCAGTGCCTGTGTGACCAGGGCTACGAGGGGGCGAGGGACGGGCGTCACTGCGTGGGTATGGGGCTCCCGGGGCAAGGGGGGCAGAGGGTGGGGAAGAGGTGGGCCAAGCCCTGCTCCTTTCCAGAGACCTGAACAAATGTGAACCTCAGAATTGGGCCGTTTAGATCTTGGAATATCAGCTCATCTCCGTATCAATCGGGACTGCCTGGTTGCAAGCAACAGAAACCCTATCCAATTTAATGAGAAGGAAGGCTTAAATAATACATGCATAAAGGATGCAATATGCACTAATCTTAAGTATATATGAACATTTCCCCCCACATTTTATGAGGAAACTTTCTAACCATACGGCACTTAGAAAGACGTATAGAATGAATGCCTGCATCCCCAGACTTATATTTTATTTATTTATTTTTAAAGATTTATTTATGCATACAAGAGGTGGGGTTTAGGCCAGAGGAGGGAAGGGGTGGGGGGAGAGAATTCGCCAGAGACAGAGTGGGGAGCAGAACAGGCAGAGACTGAAATACACTGCCGAGGGGAGCAGCGGGAGAGACAGGAGAGGTCTGCTGTGCCATGTGGGTCAGCTTCCTGACCGGGGATCAAACTCGTGCTGCAGAGGCTGCAGATAGCTTCATAGTGCTGAGACTTAGCCCCTTGCCTCACCAGGGGAGGGGGCCAGACTTACATTTTATTATACTTGTTTTTTCCCATCTATTTTCTACCTAATTTGAAGGATAGATTTAAAATTGAATTACAGGGCCTCCCCGGTGGCGCAGCGGTTGAGCGCTGGGTTGCGAAGCTGCCCGCGGCCTCTGCGGCGCCGGTTCGATCCCCGGCTGCTCCCCGGCCACCGGAGGAGGGTCCCACATGGCGTGCAGACCTCTCCTGCCACCCGCTGCTCCCCTCAGCAGTGTACTTCGGTCCTTCTGCCTGCTCTGCTCTCCGCTCTGGCTCTGGTGAATTCTCTCACCCTCCCGCGCTTCTGACTGTACCCAGTGCATGTATAAACAAAACAAACAAACAAACCAGCAAACAAATAAATAAAGCATGCCTCTATAAAAAAAAAAATTAAAAAAAAAAAAATTGAATTACAGGCATCAAGACTTCCCCCTAAATTCTTCAGAATCCTTATCATTAACCAGAGTTCTACAGGTCTTTACAAGTTACTTTCATTTGAAGTTTAATTTATAGACAGTGAAATCAAGGGTCTTAATTATACATTCTCTAAGTTTTGACAAATGCAAACACAACAGGCTTTATTTTGAGAATTAGAACTTGAAGTGCTGGGATATGTTTGAACTGACTTGATGCCAGAATTGTAACCTCAGCACTGCTTTCCTCTGTGGTAGTTATTTTCAGGCAGACTCTCTTTTCCCAGTGACCAAGGTGGCCCTAGTACCTCTGCACGTCTATCCTCAGCTTGGCAATGCTTTCCCTGTTACTTCCAGCAAAGTCCCAGGACTGGCTTTGATCGCCCCAGCTTGGGCACTGCCTGACTCTGAACCAGAGAATGCAGTAATGTTGTTGGCCGAACAAAGGCGTGTGCCCATCCAGTAGGGTAGATGAGGCCTACTCAAAACAGGTTGAAATGGAGGAGCACAGGGCCTCCAAGGAAAATTGAGTGTCTGTCACCAGAAGATTGGAGGATGGGATCTGGGCCATTACAAATAGCCATTATATTCTTTTCCTTTTAAATACCATTTATATTTGAAAGCTCAGACCTTTAGAACTTTGCAATCAATAGTAGCTTACAATCATTGACTCTCTCTTCCCTGTTGTCTCCTGCTCACAGATGTGAATGAGTGTGAAACACTACAGGGTGTGTGTGGAGCTGCCCTGTGTGAGAATGTCGAAGGCTCCTTCCTCTGTGTCTGTCCCACCAGCCCTGAGGAGTTTGACCCCATGACTGGACGCTGTGTTCCCCCACGCACTTCTGCTGGTGAGACGGATATCAGTGTCTATTTAACTGATGGCTGCTGGCCCTGCAGAAAAATACTGTGGCCCAGCCAGTCCTGATGTGGACAGCTATATTCAGTTAAATGCTATTGTTTGAAAGAGCAAAAAACTTTAGAACACATGGGTTAACCTGGGTAGTGGGACTCAGAGTCAGGAGAATGACAGTAGATCCTGGCCCTTACTTTACCTGCATTCAACCAATGTTCATGAGGAATCTACTCTGTTTAGGCCCTATTCTAAGTTCTAGGGACACAGTACTAATCAGGAAATACCAGTCAGTCTTCAAGGGGTTCACAATCCAGTGGGGGCAGACAGATGTATCACCAGATGGTAACAACCCAGAGAAACCAGGGATGCACAGATGAAACACAGAGAGAACAAAGCTGTGGTGGAGAGAGGGAGGGGGTGGGAATCCTGCCCCAGCCTGAGAGGAGAGTTAGGGAGGGCTTCTTGCAGGAGGTGATATCTGAACTGAGAACAGTAGGATGGGTAGAAATGAGTGAGGTAAAGGGGGTGAGGGAGGGCATTCTGGGCAGAGGCCTGGCATGTTTGCGGAACTAAGTTCAGGGAGGCATGATTTACAAAGCAGTGGAAGGGGTGGGAGAGAAGAGTTTCCAGGAGGCACGAGCCAAGTCATATCAACTTACCTTTGTCAGGAGGTTGGCCTTTTTCTGAGGGCACTCTGGCACCATGGAGGGTTTTGAGGGGTAGCGTCAAAATTTGAAACATCCTCTCTCTTCCACGTGAAGGTGGATCTGAGGGGGCTGGGGCAGGTACTGCTGGCTGAGAGGCAGGGGCCATGGAAGGGAGAAGGAGGAACACTCAAAAGACCAGGTTGTGAGGCTGCCTGGATAGGGAAAAGGTGTCCAGCATCAGGCCTCGGTTTGGGGATGAAGGCCAGGGTGTGACATGTGAGATGTGAGACCCAAGAGACCAGGGGAACGCGCTCCCTCCCTCCCTCCCTCCCTCCCTCCCTCCCTCCCAGACCTCAGCTGAGATGATGGGAAGTCTGCTGGGAGGGTGTCAGGTTGGGGCAAGAGATGCGGAAATGACAGGTGAGAAGGGGAAGAGACACAGAGGGGCTGGAAGTTTGGAGTCTGATTCGGCCTCCGATGCCTGGATGCCCTCTGGGCCTTAGTTTCCCCATCTGTAACATGGGGGCTGGAAGCTCAGGCCACACGGGCTAAAGTCCTTTGCCTCCCCAGGTACATTCCCAGGCTCGCAGCCCCAGGCACCTGCCAGCCCTGGTCTGCCAGCCAGACCACCCCCACCGCCCCCACCACCCCCGCCCCGCCGGCCCAGCACCTCCAGGCAAGGCCCTGTGGGCAGTGGGCGCCGGGAGTGCTACTTCGACACAGCGGCTCCGGATGCTTGCGACAACATCCTGGCGCGGAACGTGACGTGGCAGGAGTGCTGCTGCACTGTGGGTGAAGGCTGGGGCAGCGGCTGCCGCATCCAGCAGTGCCCAAGCACTGAGACAGGTGGGCATGGTGGGGGGGTCGATGGACACAGGGCCAAGGGTTTGGTTAGAATTGGTGGGACTGGGACTGGGACAGGGGACACATTTGGGCACAAGGCTGAGTGCTGGTACTGCAACAACAGTGAGCTGCCAGCCAGGTGGGTGCAGGTGGACATGAGGTAGAGAAGTGGGCAGAGGCTGCAGACTGGGGTGGTGAAGGGAGGGCATGGGACCGGTCCAGGGTGTCTGCATTCAGCCTCATCTCTGTGTGCAGCCGAGTACCAGTCATTGTGCCCCCATGGCCGGGGCTACCTGGTGCCCAGTGGAGACCCAAGCCTCCGGAGAGGTGAGGCCACACTTCAAGCCCCACCTACTCACAACCCCCATTCCAACCTGTCTGTCAGATTTCTTTATCTGTCTCACCCCGTTTCTCTGTTTTTCTTCCTCACCTCACTCCGGTCTGTCCTCGCCTCCCTGCTGCCATCGCTATTCCTCTTCCTTGGCCATGCCCTGAAGTCATACCCCAATGCAGCCCATCCTGCGCCCTGGCCTGCCCCCACCCCTCCCTGGGGGGCACGTCTCTGACTATCCTTCCCACAGATGTGGACGAGTGCCAGCTCTTCCGAGACCAGGTGTGCAAGAGCGGCGTGTGCGTGAACACCTCCCCGGGCTACTCCTGTTACTGCAGCAACGGCTACTACTACCATGCCCAGCGACTGGAGTGTGTGGGTACGAGGCCTCCGTCTTCCAGATCCACCCCCCAGTCTCCCCCCAAAACCTGGGCTGCCAGTTCCTCTCTGGAATGTGGCCACGGTCTGCCTGCGGGAAGTCCCTCCTGGCGTCCAGACCCCACCTATCACAGTGCGCTGAGGAAATGGCGCTCCCTCCACTGCCTCCCTAGATAACGACGAGTGTGCGGACGAGGAGCCGGCGTGCGAGGGTGGCCGCTGCGTCAACACCGTGGGCTCTTACCACTGCACGTGCGAGCCCCCGCTGGTGCTGGACGGCTCGCGGCGCCGCTGCGTCTCCAACGACAGCCAGAGTCTCGGTAACCCCGCCCCGCCCCTCCAGGCCCCGCCCCCGCAGAGGTCCCGCCCCTCCCCTCTCCAGGCCCCGCCCCCTCTCCAGGCCCCGCCTCCCTCTCCAGGCCCCGCCCCTCGCGCTTGACTCCGCCAGGTCCCCTCCAGCTTCATTTAGCCTGTGTCTCTAGATCAGACTCTGAAAAACCAGCTGGCCTGGTGGTTAAAGGCGAAGGTTCCAGAAAAGAAGGTTTAGAGAAGCCTGCCATTTACTGGCCCCGTGTGAACAACGGGCACGTTGCTGATCGCCCCTTCGGGCCCAGCTTCCTTTCTGCGCTATGGCAGCAGCCCCTACCTTATAGGGTGACTGTGAGGAATTCATTTTTAAGGGCAGGATGCATCCTGGTCTCACTAAGTGCCAAATGAGTGCTTCCTGTCATTTCCCTGCATAGCCATCTCTGTCCGCCTCTTGAGTTTCTGGCTTCAAGTTTTTGCTCTGAATGTATGATGCCGAATTTGTCTTTGTTCTAGGGCTTTGTCTTTCCATTTCTCCCTGCATCTTTGCTTTCCTGTTTTTCTTTAGAGTCTCTGACTCTTGGGATGTTTGCCCTGTCTTTTGGGTCCTTTCTTCCTCTTTTCACTCAGTCACCCAAATCCTCCCCCTCCCTGTCTTCCTTTAAACAATGCTCAGAGAGGAGGAGCATGGCCCCAGGTCACACTGCCTTCCAGAGGCCAGGCTCCACAGGATGCTCTCAGACCCCTCTCCCAGCCACCAGCCCCTCCTGTTCTCTCGAATCTGATAGCCTCGCACCAGACCAAGCCCTGTCCTCAATCCAGAACTCGATCCAGATCCTTGGAGCTATCTCGAGGGCTCCTGGGAGTCAGAGCACAGAAGCTGAGAAGGAGTGGGTGACAGGCGGAGCCGCTGGTTGGGCTGCTTCAGCAGGGAAGGAGGCCAAGCATCTGGGAGGCCCCACCCTGATAGATGCTTTCTCCTCCCTCAGACGACAATCTGGGAGTGTGCTGGCAGGAAGTAGGGGCTGACCTTGTGTGCAGCCGTCCCCGGCTGGACCGCCAGGCCACCTACACAGAATGCTGCTGCCTCTACGGCGAGGCCTGGGGCATGGACTGCGCCCTCTGCCCTGCCCAGGACTCAGGTACTGCCCCTCAGGCTCCGCATGCAGGTCCTCAGACACCCGATCTCAGACTTCACCTCCCAGATCTCCCCGAACTCAGGCCCCCACACCCAGCCCATCTATAGATCTTGGATCACACTCCAACAAGTCACATCCCCAATTCCTCCAAGTCTCAACCACAGTAACCCCACAGCCTGACTGGGCAGGTCCCATAAGCCCCTGAGATCTGGTCTCAGTCCCTCACTCAACTCCTGGTCTCTAAAACCCCATGACACCACTCATGAGATCCTGGCCTCCAAATCCTGTGTCCTCAGACCTCAGATACCTGTTGTTCAGACCCAGTCATCCTAGCTCACAGACGTCCCACTCATAGCCCCACAGATACACAAGTCCTAGTGCCTGGGACACCCACATTCAGGTGCCTGAGACCCCAACACACAGCCCTAGAGGCCCTCACATCTTGACCTTTAAAATCCCCGAGTTCCCCTATCTGCAGCCTTTGGGAACACAGTCCCAGTCCCCAACCTCCAGTTGGACGAGTCACATCCTCTTCTGCATCCTGAGGGCTCAGACTCTTAGTAGCAGTCCCTGGAATTGCCTAGTCTTGCTTCCTAAAGTTACCCCATCCCATTTCTGTGGCCCTCAGTCCCAGTTCCCATGCCCCTCCCCAATTCTAGCACTTAGACCCTGATTCCTAACTGTAATCCTTAGTATTTTTGACCCCAGGGCCTTGGAATCCCAGCCTGAGCCCTCAAACCCTCACTCATGGCTCCAGAAACCCCTGGACTCATCCTCCAATTCCAGCCTCTTCCTTTGCTCCCCCTCCCATGCCTCAGCCAAAGTCCCTAGGGGCTCGCTCCTGTGTGTTGGGGGTGGGGCTGGAGACCGTGAATGGTGGGTGCTGAAGCAAGTGGGGGCTGACTCCGGTTTGGCTCCTGTTCGCAGATGACTTTGAGGCTCTGTGCAACGTGCTGCGCCCCCCTGCCTACAGTCCCCCGCGGCCAGGTGGCTTTGGACTCCCTTATGAGTATGGCCCGGACTTAGGTCCGCCTTACCAGGGCCTTCCCTATGGCCCTGAGCTGTACCCGCCACCCGTGCTACCCTACGACCCCTACCCACCGCCCCCTGGGCCTTTCGCCCGCCGGGAGGCGCCTTACGGAGCACCCCCCTATGACATGCCCGACTTTGAGGATGACGGAGGCCCCTATGGGGATTCTGAGGCTCCTGTACCACCCGGCCCGGGCACCCGCTGGCGCTATCGGCCCCGCGAAACCCGGGGCTCCTTTCCAGAGCCTGAGGAGTCCCCTGAAGGTGGAGGCTACGCTGGTGAGCACTGTGGGCCCGGTGAAGGAAACGAGCGGGGAGAGGTGTGCAGATGGAGACAGGGAGGCAGGGGGAGGGATACAAAAGGAGAAGCCCGAGGAGAGGCAGGCTTGGAGCGAGGGAGCAACCGAGAGCCCCGAAGAGACTTACCCTGGGCCCCAGCTGGAAAGCCGGGGGAGCAGCGGGGAGCCTCCGGGCTCCACAGCGCCCCCTGGGGCCCCAGCGGGATGCACAGTTCGGACGGGAACGCGCTCAGCTGGGCTTGGGGCCGCATCTCAGGGCCATAAGCGCGGAAGACCGAGACCCTAACTGTGGAATGCATTTCCCCCAGGCGCCCTGGCTGGGCCCTACGAAGGTCTGGAGGCGGAGGAGTGCGGGATCCTGGACGGCTGCGCCCATGGGCGCTGCGTGCGCGTGCCCGAGGGCTTCACCTGCGACTGTTTCGACGGCTACCGCCTGGACATGACCCGCATGTCCTGCGTTGGTGAGGGGCGGGCCCCGCGTGCGTGGGGAGAGAGGGTGGGAGTCTTGACTAGGGGTGGGGGTCCACGACCCCCCGGGGCAGAGGCTCACTAAAGGGGATGGGCCTGCAAGGAGGGCGAAAGAAGAAATTCTGGCACTGGGATGGGGCTCGCCAGGCCGGGTCATGGGTGAGGAAATCGAAGCTTGACCACAGGACTGGAAGCAGAAAGAAAGGCAGAATCCTGCAGGTGTGAGTTTAAGGACTCCCAGTGCCACCTGGGGCATTTTTACTTGACCACTTTGCAGAGCTTCTGTCTTTCTGTTTGTAAAATGATATATTAATCCTGTCTGCCTAGTTTAAACGGTATTGAAGCAGGAATCAAGAACTCTGGGGAAGTTGGGGAGACTTCGGCGCAGTCCAGCCACTTGCTGTGTGACCCTAGACAGGTCAACATCTCTTGCTTCATTTTTCTTGTCTGAAAAACGAGCATAGTCATAGAACCCATTTCAGAGTCGTTTTGCTCTCCGTGAAAGCTGATTTATCATGATACTGAAGCCTACATGTAAACCGAGGCTCAGAAAAGAGAATTGAGTTGCCCAAAGTCTCACAGCCACCAAGCAGCAGGGGGCTGGGCACGCAGACTGTCTGAGGACCCACGGGGCTGGCTGTTGATATGGAATGGCCAGGGGCTTCCCTACCCTGGGCCTCTTTGAAACAGGATCACAGTACCTGCCTCATAGGGTCATAAGATAAGAAAGTTTACACAAGTTATGTGTTTCAAACAATGTCTGGCATAGAGCAAGCATCTGTTGCTGTTGATGTTGTCATCAGTATTCTTTCCTAACAAAAGCCTAGGCACTAGGGGATTCCATCTTACAGAGCACAAGCTGAGGCACAGAGAGGTTGAACCACCTGCCCAGACTCACACAGCCGGCTAGTAGTAGCTCCAGATTCTGGTGGCGTTGGATTCGCCTGCTAACAGGGGTTCAGCATCTACACTCTCAGGGCAGGACGGTCCCCAGATCCCCCAGTCCTGAGCAACACTCCTTGCATCCACCTCCCCAGACATCAACGAATGTGATGAGGCTGAGGTGGACTCTCCGCTCTGCATCAACGCGCGCTGTGTCAACACAGATGGCTCCTTCCGCTGCATCTGCCGCCCAGGATTCGCACCCTCGCACCAGCCCCACCACTGCACGCCCGCCCGGCCCCGGGCCTGAGCCTGAATCCCCCAGCAGCTCCCTCCCCGTGCCTGCGCACATGGGGCTCTACCTGTGCACGCGCCGCCCGCTGGGGCTAGTGCACATCTGGATGCCGGGCCTCTTGGCCCGTTAGATGGAAGGAGGGACCCCTTAACTGCTCCCACCATCCCAACCCTTCCTACCCACGCCGCTGGCTGGGACCTAGCCCAGGCCCCCCCCCCACCTTCACGTTCCTGTGCCTTTTTATAAAATTTTTCAATAAAAAACACCTATTTTGTACCTTTCGCCTCAGTCTGCCTTTGTTTCTCAAAGTCTGGCACCACAGTTTGTTCTTTGAGTCACTAAATTATATCCTGTTCTCACTGACTCACCCCTGTCTCTTAGGTTCGAGCCTCCCTTACTTAATTTGTCTCTCTCTTCTCTCCTCTCCCATCTTTCTGCTTCTTTTTCTCTGCCTAATTCCCTGTCTGTGTCATTCTGTGCCTCTTCCCCATGTCAGCTCCAGGAAAAGATAGGAGGGGGTAGTCTCTGGCCCGGCTCAGGGTCCTCAGAATCCCGGATTTCCCTTAGTCCCCAGAAAAGTCAAAGCTATTCTTTTTTTTAAAGCTTTATTTATTTATGCATGCAAGGAGGGTGAGAGGATTCACCAGAGACAGAGCGGGGAACAGAACAGGCAGACTGACTGAAATACACTGCTGAGGGGAGCATCGGGCAAGACAGGAGAGGTCTGCTGTGCCATGTGAGTTACCTCCCTGGCTGGGGATCGAGCTCGTGCTGCAGTGGCTGCCGATAGCTTCATAGTGCTGCATCTTAACCACTTGCGCCACCAGGGAGGCCCCCAAAAGCTACCCTGTGGCAACTGTTAGTGTTAGGGTCTCAAAGTAGGATGCTTCGGGGACCAGGCAAAGGATGTTAACAGGAAGTAGGAGTGTGATAACAGAATCAAAGTACAGAGGTGAGGCTGCCCACCAAGGCATTCTTAAGGATTGGGGCGGGTGGGAAAGAGAAGGAAATATTCCCTATTTTAAATAAAAATGTACTTTAAAAACCTCATATCTGGACCATGAGCCACGAGTCTTAATCTTTTGGGTACAGCTCAAGTGTGTAGATGGGGGGGCTGGGAACACCTTCTTGACCAGACCCTCGGGAGGGACAGAATTCCCAAGAGCCACTGGTGCAGGAGAGGATCAAACACATAGTACCCACCCTCTGGGAGTGTGAGTGGCGTTTCAATGAATTGTTATGGACACCATGTGCTTCCACTTGCAACTGGCAATAGCAAGGGCTCAGTGACTGTTATATCTCCAGGCCTCCCTGGAAATGCTGAGCCCTGTGGATGACAGATGGTATAGGCAGATGGCGCTATCTTATTCTTTACCCATTCTCCTTTCCAGGGTGAAGGAGGAGACCAGATCTTTCTAGAAGACAGTGAGGGGCCTCCCTGGTGGTGCAGGAGTTAAAGTCTCAACACTGTCAAGCTGTGGCCAGCCACTGTGGCATGAGTTGTATCCTCGGCTAGGGAGCTACCCACATGGCGCAGCAGACCTCTCCTGTCTCTCCCACTGCTCCCCTCAGCCATGTATTTTAGTAGATCCACCTGTTCTGCTCCCCACTCTGTCTCTGGTGAATCCTCTTACCCCCTGCACCTCTGGCCTACAACCAGTCCTTGTATGCATTAAAGAAAAAATTTAGAAGAAGTGAGAAACACCTAGCACCAGGGGCCAGGCCAGAGCAGGGTGTCAGATGACAAGGGACTCAAAGTGTCGCAACGGTACGGTTGCACAGATCTGCTCTAAAAACCATTGAATTGTATGCTTTTAAAGGGTGAGTTATATGGTGTGTGCATTAGCTCAAGGAAGCTGTTAAAAAGAGAGAAAAAGCTTTACAAAGGAGGTCAGGAAGTAACCCCATCAGATACAAGAAAGCATATATCCAAACACTGACCATTTATTCTACAAATATTTTCCATATAATACCCACTTTGTCATGTGTGAGTGTCAGCAACAGAACCTTAACTCATCCTTAGGGGTTTAGCAGCTCTAGGGAGAGCATTTGGAGACCTGTGAGCTGAGACCTGAATGATGTGGGGAGGTAGAGGAGATTGCTCCAGGCACATGGCATCTGCCCGGAAGTATGAAAGGTGAGTATCTTTTTTTTAAGCTTTATTTATTTATGCATACAAGAACTGGGGTACAGGCCAGAGGTGCGGGGTGGGAGGGGGCGGTGAGAGGATTCACCAGAGAAGAGTGGGGAGCAGAACAGGATGATCCACTGTGATACACTGCTGAGGGGAGCAGCGGGCGAGACAGGAGAGGTCTGCTGCGCCACATGGGTTGCTTCCTGGCCAGCCAGGGATCAAACTCGTGCTGCAGAGGTTGCAGATAGCTTCACAGTGCTGGGCTTTGCCCCTTGCGCCACCAGGGAGGCCCTAAATACCTATTGCTGTATGTCAGCCTTGTGTTAGACAATGCTGGTCACATTTTGGTGTGAAAGAAATCCCTGTCCCTGCCCTCATAGAGGCACAAACACATAGCCACACATGGCAATCTGTGCTGGGGGGAGGGGGGGTCAGGTTAGGGATGGGAAGGATTAGAAGCTGTGGGTGCTCAAAGACAACTGACTCAGTCTGAGAGAACATCAGGGAAGTCTTCCTGGAAGAAGAGATAGAATCCCAAATAGTCTCTGGGGCCCTATGTCCCTTTGAAAACCTGTAAAATCTCCGGACTTTCACAGAAGAAAAAATGCACACAAACCTAGGCAATTCTCCAGTATTCCCATTCCCTCAAAACCCTGTCCTCGGGAAACCCTGTGGGAGGAAACTCCTCTCCAAACACACACACATACACACACACACACACACACATCCCACCCCACCCCCCTTGCTGTATTAACGTCTCAGGAGTGGGGATGGGGTGACCAACAGTGCAGGAAACTTTGCCTGTCAAATTTCAGCATCCTAAGAGGCAAGTGGGGTGAGGTTTTGAGAACCCCACACATTCCTCTCGCTTCCCCCCTCTCCCTATACACACAGGTTCTGGAAGATGTACCCAGATCCTAGCTTTTTTTTTTTTTAACCACACCCACCCTCAAGATTCCAGCTTTTATCCTGTCTATATCCCCCGCACAAAGCTCTAGACCCGGCGCTGAGAGACCCTTGGCACCCGCAGGGGCCTACGTGTTCTGCTCGGGAATGTCTACTAGGACCGCAGTCGGGGAGTAACCCTCTCCCGGGACAAGCGCCACGGCGCCCTCTGACGGCCGCCGCGCGTCAGCGCATCCCCAGCCTCCCGGTGGCGAGTGCTCGTAGTCACCAGGTGCCCAGGATTCCAGGGCCAGGCTTTGATCAGCAAACTGGGATTTTCTTCCCTGTCATCAGCAATCGTTGTAGGGTAAGGTAAAAGTATCAGGCCTTTCTGCCCTCCCGCCATTAGGATAGATGAGGGAACCCTGTGGACTGAACGCATGCCTGATGGCAGGCACCTGAAGTGGGTACACCTGGGCTGAGAGACTGAGTTTATAAGGGCGGCATCACGGGGCGCCAGCAGAAGCCAAGAACCAACTGAAGCCGACAGAAGAAGAGGAGAAGCAGAGAGAATGCCAGAGAGAGCCCAAATAGACTGAAGATTTGCTGGGGGCTGGGAGGACTGCCAGCCTCCCACCCCCCAGCATCCCTGCCTGCCATATGCCTGGTAAATCTAAATACAAGACCTGCAAAACCTACTGAGGACTCTGACTCCTCCTTTACCCGGTCTGCTGGATCAGAAAACCTGCTCTGTGGTGTTCCTGCCCCTACAATCGTCATCGTCATCATCATCATCATCATCAATCATCACAGCCAATAAGGCACTTCCTATGTGCCAGGCACTGTGCTGCTGTATCACCTCACTTAATCCTCACATCAACCCTATGAAATGGATACTATTACCGTCTGCATTTTTCTCTTTTGAAGCACAGAGAGGTAAGGAAACTTACCCAGGATCAACCAGCTCCTGAGTGGCAGAGCCTGAATCAAGTCTAGACAGGCTGGCTCGCGAGTTTATTTTCTGAATCTTTCAAAAGATAATCATGAAGTGAAATCATAGGAGGGTTGGGGATTGCTTCCAAATAATCCTACAAAACAGCTGAGTGTCAAAGTCTGGGTCATTCTCCTCTGGAGTTTTATCTAGCAGAGTATGACAGCATGTTTCTTTTTTTACTTAAGTACTTTGAACTTTGTTTTCGCAGGCTAGCTCTGCATCCCCAAATGAAGGCATTAGACTCACCTGGAGGACTTGTTAAAACACAAACTGCTGGGCCTCACTCTCAGTAAGTCTGGAGTAGCCATGGAGAAAAATTTGGCCTGCAAACAAGTTCCCAGGAGTGTCTGCGGTGGCTGCTGCTGATGGTCTGGGGGCCATGCTCTGAGAACCACTGCCCTCCAAAATGTAAGTCCTTACTGTGTGATGTTCTGTGTGTCCTGCAGGCATTCTCAGTCTTTGGGGAAAATGCCTTCTTCGCTCTGTCCATCAGGCTGACCCCGCTGGAAAACTCCAGGCCTGAGGATTGAGCGAATCCTTCCCATTGCCCACCAGGTAGAAATAGGGCTGGGAGAGGAACAGAGACTTGTATCCTACATATGTCATCTGCACCTCTGGCTCCAGCCAGTCCTCAGAATGACACTTCCCTTCATATTCTAAAGCAAATTAGATGGAAATGTTAACAATTGGCGAATGAAAAGAAAGTAATTTTTTTTTTTGGTAGTATTCTTAGTCTTGCAAATTTGGGGTAATTTGAAATTATCTTCAAATATAAAGTTAATTTTTTTTTTTTTAAGAAATGAGAGCTCTAAAATCCAGTTATATCAATACAAGTGGAACTGGGGGGATTAAAAAGAAAGTGTACTATGATCCAGGTAGTGTTTGGGATGAAGATTAAACTTGATGAAAGTTCAGATCAAATTTTAAGGATTACTACTAAAAGACTGGCAGTGGTGCAGAGATTCCAAACTAGCAGAGGGGGGAAAAAAGGGTAGGAGAATATAAGACAAAACAGAAAATGCGGCCACTTCAAATAAGCCTAAGTGAGGTGGGGGCGGGGAGGAGATACTTAGAACAAATAGGGACAAAAGAACCATCAAGTAAAACAGCAGAAGTAAATAGAATATAGTACTAATCAGGGGCCTCCCTGGTGTCTCCAGGGGTTAAACACAGCACTGTGACGCCATCAATAGCCACTGCAGCAGGAGCTCGATCCAGGACCAGGGAGCTGACCCACTTGGCACAGCAGACCTCT